AGCAGCCCTAGAAGATGTAGATGTCGCCGTGCTGGACATCATCTTGGCGTTCATCTTGGACTGCGTCGAAAAAGCCACAATAAAAAGACTCCTAAAGAAAGTACTAGAGGTACGCCTATGATCCTTCTAAAACGATAAATTTATTTTAAATAAGTATAAGGTTTTACAAGCACCTGCGTAGCCTTATCTTTACCTAAGTATTAAGGCAGTATGGTGGCGTTGCGCGTATAGACACAGTAAGCACCTCTTTATATAATTACCCCGCCTTCTTTACATATTGATTGCTTTCAATTTGCGCTTTAACATCACAACGTCGGAGCCTCACTATGTACCCGCGTACAACAGAGCAGGAAGGCATTATTCGCGAAGCCTTTAGTGCCACTCTGTGCAATAGATGTAGCATCATCATGTACTTGGGCATGCACAACCCTCCAGGGGTTAATGCAAGTGGCAAGCCTACTGCCTGGGACGGTCCAATCGGCCTTCTGACCGCGGATGGGGTTCGCGACGAGGAGCTTGGGACGACACATCAGTCTGCTCTGTCAGCTGACTGTGTACTGTGCAATAGGATTCGCGAATATCTGCCCCAAAACGCTGCGATAGGATCCATACGAGTGGCACTGGCAAGGCTCATTGATCATGCCATATTGGGACCGAAAAAAAGGGTCGACCCTTTGCAGCCCTATTACAGGCTGGTTCTTGAGGTAAAAGGCATTGAAGCAGCAGACGCTTCGTTGTTGGACATGGAGCTCGGATTGGTGGGGTTTCCTGGATTACTTTGTCCTCGGATGCGTCGAATTCTGCCTGGGAAGGTCGATTATGACCTGCTAGGCAGCTGGATACGCGACTGCGACCTGGATCACACGGAATGCCGGGGCTCTCACGACGGAAAGGTTATCGTTCCCGGATTCCAAGTAATTGACTGTCGGACAAGGAAAGTCGTGACGAAATCATCTCATGATCTCAGATACGTGGCTTTGTCATATGTTTGGGGTCAGCAAGAAGCCACATCCTCGAATACTTTAGACTTCCCACGTACAATCGAAGATAGCATCACAGTTACTCTGGCTCTTGATCATCGATACTTGTGGGTGGACAAATATGTACGAGCCAGATTCGATCTTCTCTCAGCTATGCGAGCTGATGAATATAGTGTATCGATCAGAATGATGCTGCCAATAAGCATATACAGATTGGCATGATGGATGTCATCTACTCACAGGCGGACATAACGTTGATAGCTACCGGCCCTGGTGCCGATGACGGCTTACAAGGCGTCAGTCGCCAACCTCGGCATCCTCAAGATATCATCCAGCTCGGGCCCTTCTGTCTTGCCAGTTTCACGAGTCTGGACAATGTCATAGTGAAATCAGTCTGGGCACGAAGAGGCTGGACCTTTCAAGAAGGATGTCTTTCGACCAGAAGACTCATATTCACCGACCATGGTGTTGTATACATGTGTCACTCGATGCAGCGATGGGAGACAGTCGAGCAAGAAGTTACCGAAGAAGATGGAAAGAATCGAGGTGTCATTCCTCGTGTTGAACGGATTCTACCAAATCTCATATCACTCTTTCCAGATTTGTGGTGGGACATGTTGGTTGAGGAATACACCAGCAGAACCCTCAGCTTCGACGAAGACGCACTACATGCATGTCTGGGAATACTAAAATCATTTGACATCTCACATCATTGGGGTGTCAAGATCATCGAGGGCTTGTCGCATCAGGGCAAGCCGAAACTGCCGGTGATGGACCTCTACTGGCGCAGCGTCAAACCTGCAAACAGAAGAAAAGGGTTTCCCACTTGGTCCTGGGCAAGCTGCACAGGTCAAAAGGACTTCGGAAGCTCGAGGCCCTATGTCGAAGATACTTCCATCATTGAGGTACTGACCGATGAGAAACAAGGACAGTGGGTCGATGCCACGACAATCACTCGCGACCAGCTTGCCAATCTGAGCAAACTCAGTTCAGGACAGAGACTACGGGTTACAGGGGCTCTACTCAAGCCTATCTGGGTGACCGAGAATGGGGAGAATTATGTCCGAGTTCCTGCATATACAGACAAGTTGTCCGTATTTCTGGACACTACGGCCGCAAGTATGGTTGCTCACGAGGACACCGAAGCGCTTGTCATCGAGGTGAACTACAATGACATGTCCCCGATTTTGATGCTTCTGTATCCAAGTGGAGATCATTATCGGCGGTTTGGAATCGCGCAGTCTCCTGAACGTCGGGCATTGAGCATGCGGGCATTCGGATATGCTGGATCTCGGGCTTCATGGATGGAGCACGTTGAGGAGCGGACTATTTTTCTTAGAATAATTTACCGTAACTTTATACCTTTGTTTGCAGTGTGCGCGCCGCCGCCGGTGGTACTTATTGTAATGAAGTCAATACAAACTAGGTTGAAGGAAGAATTCGCAACAAGTACATCAATGGTGGAACCCAGCCTATGCATACCATAGGTATTGTTCTACTTCTATACCGCTGGGAAGCCGATCGAGGGATCAGTGAAAGCGCCCTATCAAACCTTGCAATGCAATGCGGCGAACCATTCGAAACTATGCAAGGAGACTCTTCCTATCTTAGTAAACTTAATCACACCTTTAATGACTTGTAAAAGAGGCCATATATTTCATCATGCTCCTTCATCTAAAGACGATCTTTCATGAAAAGGATCCTTAAAGCACCTATGGTAGCTGCTTCGATCTGTTAGAATCCCGCTAGTTCCCTATATAACCAGTTATATAGTCATCTATTCTACCCCTGGCTATCTTAGATAGTTTAATAATCTATCCTATCTATACTACCTCAGGGTACTTATTTCAACACGATCATCCGCTTTCCCCCGTTCAACGCCAGACTTTCCCAAGTTACTTCCGCATTCCCACCTACCAAACACATACAATCCATCTGCACCCCTACGCGCCTTGACCCTCGCAGTAACTTATTAAACGTAACACTTATCACATGCCCGCCCAACAGCACGGTCAAGCCTAACCTCTCCAGGTTTTAAGATTATCCCGAGTACAGGCCCGCTCTTCCGTCCCGCAAGTCCGGGTAGGCCAAACAACGCTAACCCGATGAGGCAGTACTGCGACGTCTCCAGCCCTCTGGATAGTCTAGGATCAAGCTATTGCTTCTAGACGAGATGAGATGACGGTACGGAGAACTCAGGCTATCAAAGGCGCAGGCGCTCGGATGTTACTGCACGCATTGTTCTCAAAGAGAGCACCAAGAGGGCTTCCGCCTGTGCGCAAACTTGAAACAATTGAGGAAGGTAGTCAGTGTGGGGCGCTAGCGACGGCGCCGCGGTGTCTACCTACCTGCAAAGATTCAATTTTAAAGTGCTGCGTGAAGAGAGCCTCTACCCACCCATGTGAAACAAGAGATGGTGAAAGTCCTGACGCGGAGTGTAATATCCCAAGACCAGCTTAATCGAAGAGGAGAGGACACGTTTTGCCCTGTCAATGGACTATCCCACCCACATAACTATTCGCATCTACACTCATTCCACGTCGAATCGCCGCTCAGCACGCTCAGCTTCGAACCATTCGCAGCGTATCGGAAGTCCAGCGTTAATATTTGAGCGAAAACTTCAATCCACGTTTTTATCAACCATAGGAGTGAATCACAAGCCCAAGACTGCGTACCTAGTCTTCACACATGCGATCTAGCCCCGCAGTTCACCCCGTCCACCACCCAAGGATCCACTTTCCTGAACAATGTTAACGGTACATGCCCCCTTTGCACCCTAGAAGCGTTGATGAATAGAGCTTCATAGTCAAGGAAGGTGCATAGGCCGAATAAACGCAGAAAACGATCATGCAGCGGTATCCAGCGGATATCTTCGCTCCGTCCGTCGTACCAATCCATGCCGATGCATTATACATGTACTTGTACCTGAATAGGCGCACGCCACGCAGCCCTCGTTGCAGCAACCCTTCTTTTCCCCAAACCTTCTTCGTTAACCTTCCAGAAGCCCACTACCCGCATCGCGCCCCCTGTAACATCACAGACTACCATCACGCTCCTTTCCCCAAGCCTTGCCCATTTTCTAAACTAACGCTATACCACAACCAAAAAACTTACATATAACGCCCATCTGCACCTTCGCTTATGCCCTTCTTTCCCACCGCGTTGATTCGCCGGCTAAGTACCCTCCCACGGTTGTTGGATATTGCCCCTATACTATACGCTACATAGGCGGGCAAACGAGGGTAATGTTATTGGTAGGGCGATATTGCTGCACTCGAGCCTACCTATTTCAGGCGAATGGACGACAACGACAGTGGCAGAAGAAGGTAATATAGTGCAGTGCATATTGTAGGTATAACGAGCCTTGGCTCACGCAATGCAATATGCAGGTGGAAAATGCCGCGCCCTGCCGCGTCGGTTGGTATTTATCGTGTCTTGTCTTGTTTAAAGAAGTGTTGAGAGATGTACACATGCAAGTGGATGTCTCGTGCATGATCTATGCCTTACGCCGAGCATATTTCCCGCCTTACGGAAAGAAATCCCTCGATCGAGTCGGACCGACGGGAATGCCTGGGACCCATAGCATCGAAAACCACAGGGCCCAAGATCGACACAAACTTTAATATAGCCGCTTCTGTATAGCATCGCTCAACATATAGCCGCTATTTGTGTAGGATTGTGTAACAGCGGTACGCATTATATGCACTCTAATTACACCTCCACTCTACGACCCAATCGCAGCCGCAAACAAGACAAGCAACCGCCCTGTGGATATCGTCCCAAAAACTCAATATAGCCGACCAGCCCAATAGATAACGCCATATGACCATACAACAAGTAAGTATGCTGAAGCATTACCATTTTCCAAGCAAAGCAGAGTCTCCACCCAAAGTAAGATAACGATTCCAAATATCGCATAATCAAATGAAATATGCCGCTAGAACGTGAAAAACGGTTTGACGTTGTGGGCGAACCTTAGTTTGTGCCAGAGTAGATGCGGTAGCCGCCGTTTTCCGTAGTTTACGCGACCGTAGACCCAGTAGCCTCAACACGATGCGAACCCGCAGCAAGCGTCTGCGAGCTCTCCCCCGTAGCTTGCGGCACAGTCGCAGGATCTTCTCTTGGCGCCTTCTGATGTGGCTGGTGCGCCTCCCGTTCCGCAGCGTCGTGGTACTGGCTCCCCTGCCCAGAGCCGTCGCTCTGCCCGCCCGGTGTCTGACCCTCGTCATCCGCGTGATCTCCATCCCGATCCATATCCACGTCCTCGTCGTGCGGCTGCTCCTCGGCGTGCTCCCGCTTGATGCCGAACGGAGCAGCATGCGACTCCGACGAGCGATGATGGTGGTGATGTTGATGCTGCGCAGTCCGCGGCTGCGCCGTGTGATCCGTGTCTTCGTCGAAGAGCTTGCGAGCGTAATCGTGGTCTTTCCTGACCTCGTCTATCCCGCTGGGAAAGATCTTAGACATGAGCTCGTTGTGCTTCTTTTGGCTCGCGGTCGGATCGTGCCCTCCCGAGCTGTATTCTGTTGGGCTGGGCGTAGCGGTGTCTCTCACGCTCGTCGAAAGCTTGGAAGGGGTAGGAGTGAGACCTAGGCGCTCTTCTTCTTCTTTCCGAGCATGGACCTTGCGCAAGTTGGCAGCCGAGGACTGCGAGCGCATGTCTGGGCGACCGTCTTTGCGGATCAAGACACCGTCTGCATTCCGAATCGGCTTGGTACGAGTCTTCTTAGTGTGAGCGTATGGATCATCCGGCGAGCCGATACCTGCGCCAGCAGTCACGCCCTGTAGGCCCAAACTTACAGAACGGCCACTGGAGCCAGGATGTCCGCCGCGTCCACTACCACCACTTCCGCGTCGAACAATGCCTCTGCCCGAGCGTGCACTGTAGTACCCATCAGGGCTGACCTGTGATTCAGGGATGCCATGCCATTCCTCCCTTTCCCACTCTGGCGTGCTAAGTGGATGCGCGTATTGGGCAGCCATGCTTTTTCGGACGCGCCCACCGCGACTACCCGGGCCTCCGCCACGCCCCCGTCCCCGGCCAGGCGTGCGTACCTCTGTCATGGCGCGCTGTGACTCAGGTCGCCAGCTCTCGTCGGATGGCCCATCTTGTGTGCCATAGGGAACGAAGTGGTGCTGTGAAGCTAGGGTCGACGGAGGGACGGAGCTAGCTGGGATGCTTTGAGAAGGCAACGTGTGACGATGGGTCTGCATCCTAGCCGCATCTGAGTCATCCGTGTCTGCGTGTTCATAAGGATAGGCGGCTCCTGCATGAGGGCCCCGAGGCTCGATGGCAGCAAGCTTAGGACGCTTGCCGGGGGATGCTAGTGATGGCCCAATAGAGTCTCGAGGGCTATCTGTGCCGTTGGCATGTGACCGCTTGATACCGGCGTTCACTGTGGCCCATCCGGGTTGACTTTGAGCAGGCTCAGGCCTCTGCGAGGCATCAGGAGTTACAGCAACGGACTGGCTGCCTTGCGAAGGGTACGACAGAGTCCGCTGTCCAGACGGAACCGGAATATCAATCTGTGGCACCTGGGTTGGTAGTGCACGATAAGGTGCAGTAAGAGGTGGCTGAACCGGACGCACAGAAGCCTCCCGTGGCGAAGCATACTGAGACGAAGGCACCTGAGCTGGGGGAGCGGCAGAAGCATCCTCGAGGCGCTGAATCTTGTTCTTCATGATCTCAATCGTGATCTTCAACGTCTCCACTTCGTTGGTCTTGTGATTCATGACGGCCATCTGTTGCGCCATGAGCTCAAGCGCAGTGTCCTGCCCGCTGAGAGTGAGTCCGCCTCCTGGAATGCTAGCACGGGTCTGCAGCTCACGCGTGGCATGCACTTCGCGGCTGAGGCCTTCGAGAAGCTCGCGGATGCCGAGCATCTCGTGCTGCAGTCTTCCAACAGCCTCGTCAACACGTCGAATTTCGGCGTTCTGCTGGTGGAAGTGAGTGGTAAACTCGCGTCGAAGGTTCTCTCCCTCATGTTGCAGCGTCTGTTCGTACTGCCGCATGTCGCGGGTCTGCGCTACCAGGGCACTGCTGTTCTGGGAGGTCTGGGTCTGCAGGCGCTCGATGGCATCGAGCTGCACATCCTGGGGCGGCCGAGGGTAAACTTGGCCATTGAGTCGTTGGTCAACTGGGGAGTGGGGGTGCGATTGTGGTGCACTTGAAGACAGTCGGCTAGCGACACTGGACTCCCTTGGAGACTGCTTCAGATGTGGCGACGAATACTGGACATCGTGCAGCACCGGCTTCACCGCAGGCGACGGGGAGGCCAATGGGGGATTGCTTGGTGATTTGTGGGGGAGACCATGCAGTGGCAGCGGTGCTGGTGGTGAACGCGCCGTCTGAGGCGGCGGCAACGACTGTCTGGTGGCCTCAAACGACCTGCGGTGGTGCTGGTCATGGTGTTGGTCGTAGTGCATGTGGCGTGGGCCGGGCAGTGGAGGATGGGGCCGGGAGTCGACTTCCATGGTTGGCGGTTGGGTGGTTGCTGGATTGGGCGAGTCTTGGACGACTACCGGTAGCGAATCGGGAAGCTGCACCTGGGGCTCTACTGGAAGGAACTCGTCACGGGCGACTTGACATCGCAACTCGATCTTGGACAGCTTGAACAAGTCGCGGCCGCTGGGGAAAGAGTCAGCACTCGGTACCTCTTGGGGCGCGGGCAGGTAAAGTTTAAATGGATGTTGTGGTGTTAATACGCAGCTGCAGCGCTGTATGCAGGATCCCGGCAAGGCCAACGCCACAGACGCGAGGGGTGATATATATGTACCTCACCACACGTCTGGACTACGGTCAGATGGAGACTCACCGAAAGGCCAGCTTCTCGTGCGGGGCGTCGACTATGGAGATGCCCAGCGTGGTGTCGCAGCGTTGGCAGTTGAGCGGGATGACGGTGCTGGCGGGGGGTTAGCATGATTCCTGCGGCGATGCGGGCGTGCGGGTTTAATAGATGATAAACGTATAGTGTGGAGATTGTGTCTAGCGCAGGCGCGCTTGAAAAATTAAAATACGTGAGGCGCTGATTGGTTTGGGATAAGCTCACAATGCTAGGGGAGTATCGAATGCTCAACTGGGCAAAGAGACTGTGCGACGGCCAAGGTTAAAGCTTACCATCCATTTAACTCGGTGCCTATCGATGCTTTCTTGAGGAGCCCCGTCCTCCGGAGCCTGCTGCGGTAGGCCCCGACCTGAGCCGGCAGAAAGTATGAGGTCGTGATCTTGTGCCACGCATTGAACAGTTCGCCCGCCGTTGCACCACACTTGCGGCAGACGCCCGTCGTGGCTCTGGGAGGCGACGCTTCTCGGCTCTCTGCGATTTCGGTCATCGTGTCCGTATCGCTGCTACGCCGTCGTGCCATTGGCTGCTGCAGTGTGTATTTTCAATCGAGTACGTGATGAGAATAGCAGTGCCAGGGCAAGGCTGACGCCCGCTGACGAAGGAGCAGTAGGAGTCCGGGTACCGCATTCGACGACGCTGCAGGGCTGCCAATCGGTGAGGGCTCGGCACGGCGACAGATACTCAGTTCTGCACTACAGCGCGTTGGTGGTTGAGTGCAGCGTAGCAGCCCGTTTCAGAACGCGTGGCAGCAACGACGGCGGTAGATCTTTACACGCTTGTTCTCGACAGAAAAGCGGAAAAAAGGACAGACAGGGAAGCATCTGATTCAGACGCTGTATTAGAAATTAGCAGCACCGAGGACCTCGAACCAAGTTTAGCAGTGCGACGTTGGCCTTTACCCAGCTCAGCCTAGCCGCGCTGATGACTATAAGCCGTCTATTACGATAGTTGGCGTTATGTGCAGCCCTAACTCGCTGCACCGCCGATCGTACGTAACCTTTATCTCCTCCAACACCTGATCTCGTATGCCTGCATCGTATGCCCGCTCAACATGTCACTGTCCTCTCACCCCTCGGCCGAGTGCTCTCTTCGCATCCTCCTCCCTCTAGTTCACGCCATCCCCCGGCCCATCTACCTTATCGACCACAGCCGCGTGTCCCATCACCACACCAACCCACCCTACAGATTAGCATTTAATAATACCCATCGCGCGCTAACACTCTCCCTCAAACAAGCCTTCTTAGCGCGCAATGTTATCGCGCTCCCCATGCCCTCGGCCCTTCCGGTCAACAATATAACCCACGTATTATGCGTGCGAAAAAACTTACTTGCTGACGGGGGCAAGCGATGCAGATGGCATGCACGCTTTGCTGGGGTGTTACTATACATACTACAGGTGCTATTGCCCACGTAAAATCACTGCTATATGTGCCAAAGCGAGATGCGGTTGATGAAGAAGGTGCACCCGTCTCGCACGAGACCTTACAATAGTATTAGCAACAAGTAATTTCCCTCTCGTGGCGTAGTGCAGCAATAGTGTGAGGGTAAGCCGAAGCGCTTGTCGCAAATACATGCCTACGTGCGGTAGTACTATACATATAGCGCGTCATCTATTTTGCACCCCCTGCTGGCCTACACGTATGCCTCCGCTGATGGCGCGGCACACGCCGAAGCAGACTGGTGGCGTAGTCGCAGGTATGACTCGACTGTTCAGAGTTTGAAAATGAAGGTCCGAGAATCGCCTCCAGCGTGACTGGCTCTTCACGGGGTAAATGTTTAGCAGGCAAAATCAATGCTTGTGCGGTGTGCGGCACATGCCGGGCCATCCCAGCGGACGTGCGCTCACCACACTCACCAGCATAACTCCCTCCCTCCCCACGAAGTGCACAAGACCTCATCGCGAAATGCAAAGTCGCCATCATACACCCCCATCTGTACCGCTCACATGCACACACTAACCCCAAGCATGCGTCCCCACGCAAGGGATACAAAGCGCAAGGAAGCGCTATCCGACGCCGTCTCACAAATACGAGGCTCGGAACCACGCTTGGTTTTGCCGCCTAATGGAAGTAAAAGCGCACTCGTTTGGAAGATGACAGATTGCTTACAGCACACGTTACGCGATGAAGGATGCTTAGATGTGGAGCTAGCCATTTAGGCGCGCTACACACTATGTATGCATTTCGCAGCATTGGAATCGCATGCAACACCCGTTGCGCCAGTGCTAGCCTCAATGCCCTCCTCCATTCTATAGATTCTCCGCCCGCCAATAACATAGGATAGGACGGGCATAACGCCCCATCTTCATCTATCTTGTATAGTAAAGCCAATACAAGTGTCGAGACACAAACCCCTGAAACGCTATACTTATCGCCGCGCTGCCTGCACAACGACATGCGCGGCGATCTCATTAGCGCCGTACAACCTGCAGTCTCAAGCTGAACGAAGCAGCGTCGCACAACCGCCGCAACGGGGGTCACAAATATATATGCTTATAGTCTGCGATTGAATGTCTCTGTTTACAGCCCAGACCACATGCAGTATTCGGCCATACATCACTTGACGACCATAAACCCGACGCCCATCCGTGCGCGTCTGACACCCCTATTCAACGCCTCGTCCTCGTCGCTCCCCCATTTCGTCACCGCGTCCCAGTTCTTCGTCCTGTATTCGTTGCGGTGCTGCTCGTGCAGCTGGCGCAGACGGCGTACCTCGCGTGGGTCGCCGGTGCCGCTGTACACGATGAAGGCGGTGCACGGCGGCAGAGAACCGTAAATCTGAACGATGTTGTTGACCGTCTTGGAGACCTCGTTGCCGAGGGCTTCTTCGCTGACTTCGCCGTCCCAGTCTGGGGGGTAGCCGAGACGCTCTAGAGCTGCTTGCCGGCGTGCTTTCGCCTCGTCGGAGGCCCTGCCATCGTCCCACCATCCGCGTACTAATTCGAGTTCCCGCAGGCGTGCGAAGACGAAGTCGATTTGCTCTGTGGTGCCGGATTTGCCGACTGCGAGGTCGCTGAGGGCGTGTTTAATGCCTTGGACGATCTCGGAGTCGCTGTCGCATCCGATGGCTACCTTTGCCTGCGCCCCAAGACCTTGATTTGGATTACCCCAATCGACCATGGCGCCCGCGCGGTTGGCGTCGTTTGACTTTGGTCGGTGAGAGCGTTCCAGTCTTCTGAAGATGGACTCGGCGTTGGTCTCGCTGGTACCCCATCTGGGTCCCCTCTCGCACTTCTGCTGGACTAGGTGAAGACAAGTTTTGGCGTCCTCTATGCTGTCGTGCCCATCGGCTCCTTTCTGGATGTCCTTTCGGAGGAACTTCTGTGCCAACCACTTGAGTGATTGCTTGTACGGCGGACCTTTGATGTGCGGAAACAAGATTCCGGTGTCGATCAAAAACGGATGCGTGAGTTTGATTGCGTTCAGATCCGAGTTCAGCGAGTGCCCGATGAGAATGGTTCGCGGCGTCAGAATATCCAGTAATTCCTTCTGGATGTCTGACAGACTGGTGGTGACATCGCGAAGCATCTCTTCTGTTATACCGGACCACTGAGTTACGTAGTCTTTGATAGGGGTATCAGGCTTAACGAGCTTGTCCATTACTACAGTCCCGTCCCAGTCGATGAGGCTGATGCGCGTCAGTACAGACACGTCATTTACGTCCTTGCACATTTCGCAATCAACTGCTAGTATACGCCTTCCGGCTGTGACACTGCCTTGCTCGATGTCGCGTTCAGGGACGTCAGCGTCCGCGAGACGGGATACGTGACTGTCTACCCAGCCATCTTCAGCTGTACAGAGATTGATTCTGCGCCTCTCGTAGGCCGCGTTGCTAGCTTCATCTGTACTAAACCAAGCTGGATGGACGACATACTCATTCTCCTGCTGGTCAGCAAGCGTGGCGAGATACTCAGTGATAGGTGTGCGCTGGTTTTCCCAGTGCTTGGTGCCTTGCGGAAGCGGGCCTTTATGTTTTCCGCTCTTCTTGAGCTGCTTCTCCTCTTGTGTTTTTGGAATCTGCGAAGACAGCATGGCATGGATCGGCGAATGAAGCTTGACAAAGTTCTTGCCACGATTTTCTACTGGGCCTATGATGGGCCACACGTGAGGAAATACGTCGGACAAAGGTTTCAGGGGCTCTGGCAGCCTCTCAGGCCTCAACGATGCAGGGTAGTAATCATCTCCCTTGATGTCTAATCGTTTTGGTCTTGCATCTTTGTTAGTCTCGGCAGTGTTTTCATCAATGAAACTTGACTCTAGTGGTATTTTGCCGTTGAACATGTCCAGCTCCAGACCAGGAACCATAAGCACAACCACTTTACGAATACTGTTACGATTTTCCACTGCAACCCATTGGGGTGCAGTGCCGTCGGCAAGTATGTATAGCGCGAGAGCCTGCAAGTCTGAAATCTTAGTAGAGTTGTTCAGACGAGCATTGTGTGAATGTTTGATCACTGGATAGTGCCGTTCGAGCTTACGCTCCTTTCGGCGCTCCTCCCGATCTTTGCCAACATCTTCGGTGGATGCTTTGGCACCCTCGGCTTCCTTCTCCCGAGTACTGAAGGGGTTGCGCGGTAGCGACAATACCTCGTCCGAGTCGCCGTTCTTCGATGCGAAAGGGTTTCCTTCAAAGTTGGAGTGCGCTGTAGCTGGAGCCTCGTTCGGCTTGCTACTGGCTTCATCTCTTTCGGCAGACGGCGGCTCTGCCGACCGCGAACGGCGTGGGCTCGGACTGCGTCGACGTGCGCGCTTGAAGGCTTCATCCCCGCCTGCGATCCCGTGCGTACGCCTTGCTACCGTCTTTCTGCCCGTCTTTGTGCTGCCGATGCCTGCCTCCGACCACTGTCCAGCCTTCGTCGTCATTTGGTATTGTTGCTGGCGCAGCTGCGTCTTCATCGCTTTTCAGGTAGGCGAGGGTTGCCCCCAGCCCAAAATCTGCGGGCGCCGGTTCATCGTCGGCTTGGAAGCTCCCACGCTTTCGTTTCGTCATGTCGGGCAGCGCTCGACGAAAAGCGTGCAAATGTTGGATTTCTGAATATGCACTATAGCGGACGGGGGAGCGCGTAGGCAAAGCAGGTACACTGCGCGGGTCGAAAACGCCCTACAACACTGTGAAATGCGTGTAGGAAATGTCGAATATGTTGAACAGGCTCGCCAACAAATTGGAGGTCGCGGTTGCCCGCAAGGGCCGTGCGTCGTTCATGCCAAGCATTCCAACAATTGAAAGTCAGACGCCTACCATAGGCAGGTTGTACGATGTTGCATATTATTTGAGCGCATACAGTGATACCGTAGATTTTAGCCATCATAAGGCTAGTTATGCCGAAGAGCTACCCTCCCATACTATAGACATCCATGTAACCTCGTTTACATCTTATGCCGTGAATTGCGCAATTTCAATCGCACTATCAACCAAGCTCCCACCCCTGATTATGTTGGTGGTGCACACCACAATTCTGCTTCCTCTCCCCCTCACCACCGACCTCCTTCAGCTTCCCACCTATGAACCTCAGAGCCGCAATTTCTGCCCGCGTCACACCGCCCAGGAAGAACACTACGATGGTCTTCGCACCATCGTTATGGCTGCCATTGAGCATGTTTCGCGCCTTGATCGCTTTCTCCTCGCCCGTTTGCTTTTCGTCAAACGTTGCGCCGCGCACATACTTTGATGCATCGTCGAAGATGCGGAGGCCTTGGGCAAGAGGGTTCGCCTGGGCTGCGGCGCGAGGATCGGAGGGCGGCTTGATAGCATTCGCGAGGGTGTGCTTCTGGATGATGGACTGGATGATGCGAACCGAGAGCGGTGCATAGCCAGAGAAGGTGTATGAAATGTCATTTGGTTCAGCTTCATTCACTTCGTCATCCCAGATCTTCAATGATTTCCGCAGCGGGGTGTAGTTCGTGACCGAACCCGGTTTTGCGGCTGGCGTAGCGCCCAGACCTGAACCACCACGAGGCTGCAACAAGTTCATCTTCTCGAGATTAGACAGCGTAAGAATGTGCTGAGATCCGTAGGCTTGGATTACAGTTCGCTTGAAACTTTCCAGGTCTTTGGGTCGCATGCCAGCGTTGGTGGTGCTTTCCAAGCACAGGAGCCGGAGAATTGAGTGCAATGGCACGTCACGATTGATAAGCTCATCGATGGTGTCGTGCTGGGTGGTAGGATCCAGACCTGACATGATGTTCTGTTGGACTTCAAGTGACCGCCGGAAGATGTCAGTATGTGTGTACTTGATGATCTCTTCGGCAAGTGAAGTATGAAGCTTCAAGCTCGCTTGTTCGGCCTGGTAGCCTGGTAGCTTTGCAACAAAGTCACGCAGTTCGGCTGTGGTTTTGGCTGCCAGTTGGTCCCGGCCGGTGCTGCTTTGCAGTCGTCGTGCTGCCTTATTGAGCAAATTTCCTACTATAGCAAAGTTGGAGTCACCAAGCGTGGCGTACAACGGGTCCTTTGAGTCGATCAAAATCTTGCGTTCCCTGCTCGTTGATGCTGAACCGCTCTGTCCAGGCTGCGGTGCGGCTCCGCCCACAACAGACGAGTCAACTTCTGTTTGGTTGGCAGAGATGTTGAACACTTCATCGAGGAGACCCTCGTATGTTAGTTGTGTGAGAAGCACAGTCGGGAAATCCACCTCTCGATCGATTATGATCAAGCTGTCGGCTGTGGAGCTAGGAGCCAAACCCAAGAAGGAAGGACTGGTGCTACTCGAAGCATCCCCAGCGGTGACTTCAGTACGCATACGGGTGAGGAGGTCAGTGAGACGCTTGCCATTGTCGCCTTTTCCAATAATGCGTGGAAAGAGGCCGTGCTTTTGTTGTTGCTGCATGAGGGCTCGGGCAGCCAGGTATATCGAGGTTGGGTCTTGACGCTGCAAAAGTATGAGCATAGGATCCGTGCCAGCAACATGAAGCGTACCAAGTAGAGATCTGTCACGGCATCATCAAGTTCCAACGACAGTACATCATCTGCAAGTGGTACGAAGAACAGCGGCCATTCGCTCACGCTTGCTTCGCCCAGCACACCGGCTTCCTCGAGAAGCTGGTCTGAGACGAGCGTACGCCGTGGAACCCAGAAAATAGAGAATTCGTGTTCGATCTGACTATCTCGACGCAAACGCTTTATCTGATCTGCCTGATATGTTAGCATCGTACAATAGATTGCACCTCTATGGGACGCGAGAGGGAATCCAGTAAAAATGCTATGTTTGATATAGGGCGCAAGACTGGCTAAACAGAGTGGGATGCGATCTGCCTAGCCTACTTTTTGTCCCACATGTTCACGACAGAGAGGAATGACAGCAAAACAAGCAATAGACCTACCAGCAACAGCCATTACAGTCTTTGCCTTCTCGCCTCTAACGAGAAAGACAACGTTCCGTTGCGACGAGTTGACGTTGTCATTCTCAAGGAAAAAGAATTTGTCGACGCCATATTCTTGCAGCGTTGACGACTTGACGAGCAGGTTCACAGATCCTGCAAGCGCTTTCTCAAGCACGAGGTTCTTTTTGCCTCTGATCTGATGGACGTGTAAGCGCTGGAAGGATACAATGATGACGATATTACCCTACACCCTCAAGCAGCAGAAGCAGGTCGCGGCGAGCCTTCTCGGCTATCTCCGACGCACTGAATGGCGTTATTGGGGCCATGTTGACCGGAGATCAAGAGACAGAGGAGACAGTTTCAGGGTGCACAGGCATAATGACGCCGATGTTGCTGCCGCCTGCAGGTCAAGCTTGGAGGATGGAGAGAGGTTGGAAGCGAGGCGCGGCGAAAAATCGGGGCAGGGCACGGAGCACGTGCTGAGTCATCCGCCTGCTCGTCGCGGCAACGACAGCAGCGCATTGCTCATGAAATGGTCTTCAACACTGCAGGTATAATGTGTTTGTATTGTGTCAAATGCTTCTATGTACTCTTGCGGGGTATACGACGGATGCAATCTCAACCGGAGAAACAGGATTTCCTGAACTCATCAAACCATATTATACATCACCAGCACCCACGCTAATTCGCGCCCAATGACTGGAGCGCTAATCTCAGCTCTTTCACCGCAGTATTTACGTCCTCAAAGTTCAAGGCCGAAATGGCCCACTTAGCATGTTTTGCAGCCGCCATCTGGGCTTCCTCATCTGTCTGGAATGGACCTTGATGTTGTAGAGGCTGGGTATATTGTTGCGGAGGCGCATATTGAGGTTGCTGTGGTGCAAAAGAGTTGTGGAATGGTGGCTGGTGAGGTGGTTGGAAGGCCGGTGGTTGCGGTTGAGGAGGAGGAGTCGCATATGGGTTCGGCGATGATTGGAAAGGAGCCTGTGGTGGAGGAGCTCGATGCTGGGGTTGTCCAGATGGCGCAGGCGATGTTGTGTTCTGATAGAAATCTTGAGGGCTAGGTGCTTGTGGGGCTTGCGGTGCTTGCGCTCCAGTGGGTAGAGACGATGCAAGAGATGAGGGGTCAAATGGGTTAGCGCCCATCGGCTCGTCTTCTATGGACGGTGCCGTCGGCAAGTTTGGTGCTGCGGTGTCGGCGGTAAAAGTTGGAACGTTTACCCTCGGGAAGTAGCCGCCACCCTCAGAGACTACAGACCCTTGTCGCGAAGTGTTGCCGGGCTGCGACATAGGGGATACGTCGCGATGTGAGTAATTTGTGGGAGCGGAAGGCAGTACTGGTGGAGGAGAGATATTGGGTGCTGGAATTGTTGGTGAAGGTTGCGCTGGGGTGTCGGGCATTGATTTGACGTAGGACTGAAATGGGTTTTGTAGAGGAGTAGCCTCGCCATTCTGGTCGAGATTCTGCACCTCGGGATCATTTGGATCTAGTAAAGAGGGAGAGATCACTGCCGGTGGCTCGTGGACAGGATTGGAAAGGTTTGGGTCTTCGCCATTCCGAATGGCTTTGAGGATGCGTGCCGCGTGATATTTCGCGAACTTCTGCTTCGACTTGATCTCGGCTTCAGGATCCTTCTTCCATATCGTGAGTATCTCGAGGAACGTCGCAGCCGCCAATAGTGTGTCGGCGGTACCCTTGGTCACATTGTTCGCAGTCATGTCCTTCTCTCCTTTCGTAAAAGTGGTGAGGGCAAACTGCTCGCAGTACGCCTGCGCGGCCGTTTCGTCGTGCAAGGCATCTTCGTCAGGGTTCGCTGCTTTCGTCTGCTCAAGCTGGTCCATAAGATTTGCTGTGTAGGTGGTGCATTCTGAATCGGCCGTGTGGAGGCCAGCCCCAATGATCTTCTGGATTATGTAGAACCTCACTGCACCGAGTTAGCAGATGGCTACCGCCGGCAGCGCTGCACCTACGCCAGTATGTGATGAAAGGCTTGTAGGGTTCAAGCTGGGCAGCACGCTGAACGAAAGGCGTGATCTGCGCGGCCCTCAGCTGCGCGGGGATGCTGTCTGCCATGTTGTGTGCGGTCGCTGGTGAGAAGAGGAAGTAGCTGTTCGCGATGTGCGGGGAGCTCTGAGTGAAGGCAGCGATGTCATATGGACCCCTGCAAAGCTGGCCTCGGCGATAACTAGCGCGGCGCGGGGTGCAGCAGGAGCTGTTGGAGCACAGCCAAAAGACACTCTGGCTTCAAAGGGCATGATGTGAGCCACCTCTACATAAGCACACTCCGGTATCTGAGCTGTGCAGCTCAATTGCACTCTTTCAACCTCCATACTCCACCGACTGCTATCATGGTACGCTCCACCGCCATCGCAGCCGCCGTCGCAGCGCTCGCCCTCCAGGCCGACGCAGCGGGTCTCTACCCCAAGAGCTCCAAGGTTCTCCAGGTCACCACTGCCGACTATGATCGCCTGATCGCAAAGTCCAACTACACTTCGATCGTCGAGTAAGTTCTCACTCTTGCCGAAACTCCGCCGCTTTGTCTAATCATCCCAGATTCTATGCGCCATGGTGCGGCCATTGCAAGAACCTCCAACCCGCCTACGAGAAAGCCGCCAAGTCCCTCGAGGGTATCGCAAAGGTCGCCGCCGTTAACTGCGACGATGAGCTCAACAAGCCCCTGTGCAGCAAGATGGGCGTTCAGGGATTTCCCACCCTCAAGATCGTACGTCCGGGCAAAAAGGCTGGCAAGCCCACAGTGGAGGACTACAACGGCCCACGAGAGGCTAAGGGCATCGTAGAGATAGTCAAGGACAAGGTGCCCAACAACGTCAAGCGGATGACTGATGCGAAGCTGGATGAGTGGCTGGAGGAGAACAAGGACAGCGCCAAGGCCATCCTGTTCAGCGAGAAGGGCGCCATCAGCGCTACGTTGAGGACTTTGGCTATCGACTTCGCTGGACTAGTGCCCATCGCACAGATCAAAAAGACCGAGAGCGGTGCCGTGGATAAGTACGGCATCACCAAGTTTCCCGCGTTGGTTCTCCTCAAGGCTAGATCTGATGAGCCCCTCAAGTACGACGGACCTATGGAGAAGGCAGGCATGGTGGATTTCCTCTCGCAGGTTGCCGCACCGAACCCCGACTGTCCCCCAGCCAAGGCAAAGAAGGACGACAAGAAGAAAGAGAAGAAGGACGCCAAGAAGGAAAGCAAATTCTCCAAGGCTTCAGCTTCACACAAGTCCTCTGAGGCATCATCTGCTGCCACATCAGCTGCGGACGAGACCCTTGAAGAGGCCAACAAGCCCACTGAATCTCCTGATGCTAACATCAAGGACGAGGATAGCCCCGAGCCAGTCGTCATTCCCGAGGCCAAGCCTACGATCCCTGTCATCGCTGAAGCCTCCGAGCTGCAGGCCTCTTGCCTTAACGAGAAGAGCAAGACCTGCATTCTCGCCATCCTCCCCAAGGACGAATCTGCAGAGGCAGCCACAACAGCGCTTGCCTCCCTTGCCTCCATTCATAAGAAGTATGATGATCTGAAGAGCAACCTGTTCCCCTTCATCGGTGTCCCAGCCTCAAACCCCGTCGCAGCTTCCCTCCTTAAGGAGCTCAGTCTTGGAGGCGATGACCAAGTCCACCTCGTCGCGACCAACGGCAAGCGATCCTGGTATAAGAAGTACTCCGGCTCAACTTACGGCCCTACCGAGGTTGAGTCCTGGGTCGATGCCATTCGCATGGGTGACGGCAAGAAGGAGAAGCTGCCCGGGTCGCTACTGTCTGTTGTCGAAAAGGAGGTTCCGCAGGAGAAGGCCGCGGAGCAGGAGCCCATCAAGATCGAGGTTGAGGAAATTGTCGAAACACCTGAGCCTGCGCCCGTGGAGGAGCCTGAACCCGCTGTGCCTGAACATGGCGAGCTCTAAGCCTGCCCAGGATGCATGGAAATATCATTGATCGATGTATGATGTCTTTTAGCGGGTGCGTGTATATCATAAAAGAAAATTTGTATACGATACCGTGCGACGCATGTTTGTTCTGGGAGCCTTGCTTCATAACTTATCTCTTGATGCAACAGTTTATAGTTCTCACTGTCACGCCCACTTCGTTACCTTACTCAGCTCATGACCAGGCCACCATCAACACAAACGTTCTGCCCCGTAACAGCTCTTCCCCATGGACTCGCAAAAAACAACACCGCACCCGCCATCTCCTCCGGCGTCGTCACCCTCCTCAACGGCGTAACCCCCCTCACCATCTCAAACACTTCCTCCGGCGTCCCCCTGCTCGCATCCGTAACGCTCAACAACCCCCCACTGACCATATTCACTGTCACTCCCTTTGGCCCTAGCTCCGCAGCACACGTCCTCGTAAATGCGAGCAGCGCGCCTTTAGCTGTCGTGTAGTCCTGGTACGGTACCACAGGGTTCTGAACTAGATTCGACCCAATGTTGATAATGCGGCCGTAGCCCAGCTTTTCGAAACCCGGGAGCGCGGCTTTAGTCGTGTTCAGCGCACCTTGCACCGCGCCTTTAAATTGCGCGTCGAATGCATCCCAAGTGATGTCCTCAAGCTTCGGGCGCGCTTCGCCGTTGAAGGTGAAGGGGGATAGGGCGTTGTTGACGACTATTGAGATGGGCTGGCCATAGTGTTGTTCAGCTTGGGTGAAGAGGGACTGTACGACTGTGAGATCGGTTATATCTGCGCGGATTGCTATGGCGGAGAGCTCAGAGGCGGCGGATGAGGCTGCTTTTTCAGAGGAAGGCTGGAGGTAGTTGAGGATGACTTTTGCGCCCTCGGCGTGGAAGGCGCGCGCAATGGCAAGTCCGAGACCGCGGGAGCTGCCGGTTATGAGGACGATTTGGTCTTTTAGGGGCGTGGTCATGGCTGGTTTGTGGTCGTGCTGTTGAACTACTAGAAGCTCAAGTAGAGCACTGAGCCAACGCTAGTGAACGAACATTCTGATTGGCTTGTTCATTAGTTTATCCACTTTGTTCATGACTGGAACTGTTGAACAACAATGAAGCAATCGACAAGCTCCGCGCTTTTCAAATCTCATCTCTAAAGGTCGATGGGTCGGAACCTTGGAAACGGTAGTAGCACGTGAGGAGCGGGTTTAGCTTCTTGGCGAAGGCCAGCCGTGTGCCTCCTACCTTTCAACTTGTTTCCCATCATATGACATATCGCCTACATTAGCGCCATTATGGACGAGAAGAAGCTTTGCGACGCTTGTATCAGACTGTTGAGAGGTGATCGAGACGGAATACCCCTCGAAGACGTTGCGCCGCACCACGCTGATGCTGAATCTTTACGAAAGGCGCTTCAATTACCGTGCTACTTGTGCTGTTTCGCTTGGGACGACCCCTTCGAGCCGACTCTCTACGATGACAACGTAGTCGATGGCTCAAAATATACTTTTGGGTCCGGCCCTTCACGAGCGGATAATATCGTCGACCACCTGTGGTTGGAGTTACGCTCCGAAGGAGCGTTCATTAGGCTCGAACCGTGGCAAAGTTCGTAGAGAGCGCCTTTGTGAGGATGTTGCGCTTCTTACTCATGCTGATTGCCATAGATATGGAGAATTTTACCTTCCCCGGTCTACTTTCTACGAATACCGGGTCTGCATCTGCACTTGATTTTCTCGTGAGTAAGTACAAGGAGTGTATTGACGAGCACAACGAATGTGGCTCACAAATGGATGAATACTTCCTCCCGTCTAGGATCCTTGATGTGGGTATATTAGGCGACGAGAAAGTGTATTTGCGGACCACTCACCGTTTCCCCTACCGGGGTCGATACTTTTGCCTCTCTCACTGTAAGTTTCACTTTGAGAGAGTCCCCTGTGCGCTCGCTGAAGCTGAAACTGTTCTCTAGGTTGGGGGAATTCGCAACCTCTTACTCTGACCCAAAGATCAGCGCAGAACCTTGAAGATGGGATCCCACTGGGGTCGTTGCCAAAGACTTTTCGCGACGCTGTCATCGTCACACGAACATTGGGAACGCGGCTTCTCTGGATCGACTCCCTGTAGGTGTTGTTCGGCATGGATCCAACGGCCTACTGATGTACCACTCGATGTATATACCAGGACAATCTCGACGATTGGGAGAAGGAAGCGTCGCGTATGCGAGATGTCTACAGTAACGCAGCCTGTACGATTGCTGCAACAGCAGCAGCAAGCAGCGACGAAGGGTTGTTCTTCGATCGCGACCCCTGGCTAGTGCGTCCTCGTTGTCTCACTGCTACTTGGGCGTCTGAAGAATACTCAGAGCATGAAGATGCAGCTAGGTTTCCTCCGGCAGGACAATATTGGTGCGATCACGACGATCTTTGGATAGAGTGCATCGAGAATGCCCCTTTGAACAAGAGAGGGTGGGTGTTCCAGGAGCGGCATCTATCTCGACGTATCATGCATTTCGCAGAAAAGCAATTGTTCTGGGAATGCTATGAATGCAAAGCAAGCGAAAACTACCCAAGCAGCTTACCGGTATGGGCGCTCTCGACATTTCATGGCTCAGGTCCGATGCCACTCAAGCAAAAGACCCACAAGCTCCGCAAACGAATGATCGAATTGCGCCAATACATCGACATCGAACAGCTTGAGGACCTCTACCTAGATTGGCTCAGATGGCGTGAAGGATACTCACGAAGCAGCGTGACAAAAGTTGAGGACAAGTTGGTTGCTATACAAGGTATAGCTCAAGACGTTGGCTCCCTCTTCGACGATAAGCTTATTGTGGGGATGTGGAAGAGTCGAATTCTCCAGGACTTATGTTTCAGCTTTGTTCCCGACACTGGTGTCACAATGCGCCCGCCGCTCCGGAAGCTAGCTCCCTCCTGGAGCTGGGCCTCGACAAATCAAAGAATCTGGCCTGTAGATATGACGAGATATAATACTCAGGGTACATATCTTGCCAAAGTCATCAGTCTTGATGTTTCAGAGACGGCCTTCAGAGGGTCCCATTGGGCTATGTTGTGGATACAGTGCAACTTGATACGCATGATTCCCAAATGGGATGTTCCCCGCTGGGACAAACCTTCGATATCTGAGGCTATCAGACAAAAAGTTAGGAACGGCCAGATGTCAGTCTTGCGAGGTTTTACTATGGCGAAGACTGGTGTTTATGTGGAATACCGCAATATCCATAATGAGGGCAAGACGATTGATAATATACACGTCGATCCGAAAGACCGCAGCCTTGATGTGTATATGCTCGTCATACGGCAGCTTCCTTCAACGAACTGGGAGAACAGGCAGGCATGGGACGAGATAGCTGAAGGGCTTCTGTTGACACGGCGGCCAGTACCCGAGCATGCTTTCGAGAGGATTGGCTTCTTCGAGATGGAGGGCGATGCGTGCCGTGAGCTTCTTGTTGAACACAAAGTTTCAGAAAACCAGATCATCGCATTGGTTTGAAATAGACGGGATCTCTCTGGATTCATTCGCTGCCACTAGGGTTTGATGTGCCTTCCCAAAGGGGAAGTACCTCGCGGCTGGTGTTGACTGCTAAGAAAGTACTCCCTCTCCTGGCTCCTGAGCAAATTCGAGTCACAGAACGGGCAACAATGATTCACAAACGACGTTAGTCAGCTATATGAAGATCTTGTGATACCAGAAACCAGATAAGATGGATCTTCATGAAACCCAACAACGCGGTCTTGTGAGAGTGCTACCGGATATTCTACGACATAAGTTATTCCCGCTTTCCACCCTATCCTGCGTGCTGGCTCTAACATGCTTTGCTCACGTTTAGCTCCTTCCTTCACTTGTGCCAAAGTCGCGGTCACCACGGTTACTGCTACATGCTCGCAATCTCGTCTCTCACCTTTACTAGCGCGCAATCTGCTCACTCTTATTCACGAACTTCAGAGCCCACCTCTTCAATCCTTTTACCCACCTGAATATCACAAAGTGCCCGTCCAATTCGCGCTTGCGACCAAATTGACGAGATGACGCGGGTGCTCCGGAAAAGCACGCGAAAGAAGATACAATTGAGCAAGACTCGCGCGGAGAGAAGCAGTCACGTGGCTCGCGCGATCCAGAAGAGCTTCAAAGCGAAAGCGCGAATCGCTGAGAAGGCCCTTCCTCGCCACAAACAGTATCGGGAGACTGGTGGTCTTGTCCCCATGAAACCGCCGAAGCATTTGAAGCAAAGGTACGCAATGAAACTGTTAGTTTTGTTCGAACACAGCAGTGGTAGTACTGTTCAAATTCTAAATTTGGTATCTCAAGCGCGGTTGCACAATGCTGATTCCAACACAGGACAATTGCAAACGCCAAGTCGCCTTTGTTTCGACTTCCGGCTGAGATACGGAACAGGATCTTTGAGCTCGCATTCACACTCGATCGTTTCAGCTGTGGTCCCAAGTGTAACGATCCCGATTGTGATTTTGGTTATAGCATATTAGTATTTAGCGAACACCCCGGTCTCTATGCCAGCCTCACGTTGGAGGAGCACAAGATGCAGGTTGCGATGGCACTCCCGCGCGTATGTCGGCAGGCTTACCATGAAACTGCGACGATGATCTACACACAGAACATATTCTATTTGCTGTCAATCTGGGTGATGGAGACTTGGCTTTCTCTACGTCTACCAGCACAGCAACGGGCTATACGACACCTTATGGTCCTGGACAAAAATATGGTTCAAGGTATCGATGAAGATACAACAAGGATGGTCAAGATGGTCAAGGCATCATGCCCCAGTCTTCAAATGGTGGATATGCACCCAAACGATAGACTCCACTTTGTGTATCGTCAGAAGTAGGCTATTCTGCATGAACAAAACAATGGAAGGCACGTCAATCAAAGCGGAGCAAGAAGAGGCCGTCCGGGGGTAATCTTGTGCTGCTTGCACGCAGGGACTACAGCGGATCTTGCTGCTCCGTACTTCGCCCTGAGATTGCAACAAGGCGTACACACGGTGAACAAGGGAGCTTTGCATAACCATGTGCTAGGGCCAATAGTGTTCTGGTTTGAAAGAATGAATTTGATTTCACTATGATAGCCGCCTTTGAGCGAATGATCTAGAGCGCCCTGTTCGGCCCATGTGAAACCTCCTGGACCGTTCTGGCAAGACCTCTGACCATGGCCCATAATTTATAACTATGATCCTAGGCCGAGATGGACGTGTTCTGCGAAACCTAGATTGCAACTCGCTGTTGTTTGCAAATAGCGTAGGAAAAGCCGTTGATGTGGCTTACTGGGTTGTTGGGTAGTAACGCCTAGTGTCGTAGGATAGGAGCTCTGCAGGATGAAGGTCTCTATTTTGTATAGTATGAGGTATGAGATAAGGTGCTCGGTGAGCATGTACGCTAGGCTATATCCATGCCTCCGACGCTCCTGCCACACCACCTGGTGTGGAGCCGTGCATCGGGAAGGGGCTGCTTGCTACCACCAAGAGCTGCTCACACTCATTCTCTGCATTACTATCCCACTGCCATCCTCAGCTAAACAGAGCTCCGGGCTTTCTCTCGACTGTACGGCTCTCATCTTATCTAGAAACGCCAGCAGTAGGTTCGATGGTTTCCAAGTCGCCGACGCCCGCACCCGCGAACAAAATGGCCGACCTCAAGCAGGCCAACCGCGAGCCAAATGAAGCAATGGACATCGTCGGCCTCCTCGAAATCAACAAAGATACTCGGCACATGTAAGTCACCTAGTGCGCCGAGGCATTTACAGCTATAATCCCGGATTGAATCCCCTACCTCGACAACCGCTAATAGCGCCAACAGTACTATCGCAAACAGCACCAACTCTCCACTCCTGCGCCTGCCCGCCGAACTCCGCAAGAGCATCTTCCTGTACGCGACTACTGCGGATGGTGGAAAGGTCTGTGTCCGCGACCCGGGCAAGGACCCCGTGGCATTGTTCCTCCCTCAAGTCTGCCGTCAGCTTCTAGCAGAAACCGAAACGATGTGCTACGCAAATAACACGTTCTGCTTTCTTTTGGACGACAAACTCGCTGACATGTCTCGATGGGTCGCCCAACGATCGGCTGCGCAAAAGCTCGCCATCCGTCAGCTGGAGGAAACCATGTATTCTTCCGATATCCTCCCAACTCCTCAAAATGAGAAATTGGGCATTTCAAGATTCGATAAATCCATGACGGAGGAAATGAGGGAGCTCTGTCCGAATATCGAGGCGGTGCATGTCAAGTTAGTTTCCGAGATCTGGCCATACACAGGATGGTAGCCGCCGTAAGAAGAGGATATGTAAGACTTCGTGGAACAAATCGAAGGAATTTCGATGAAGCAGCAAGGGTTGTGATCAAGTACGAGGGCTCACAAACAAGCCAAAGCATCGTATTCGATCAAGGTTCAATAAAAACGGAATTATTATTCCTTTCGGCGCAGGCATTAGCCCACCAAACGTAGCCATGAACCATTCGCAGGTGCAAAGCATCTTTGCAATATGTCCCCAAGACGATCAAGTATATAATCTCACCCGAACAGAAGCTGCACCCATTGCGACTTCATACTTTCCGAGCGAAACAAATGTGATGATCTCCACCCGGTTCTTCGTGTCTGCTTCCAAATTGACGAGTCCTTGAGAAGATTAACAATCAGATCAATCTAAGAAGACAGCCGTGACATCATCACCCTCCTGTTGCTTGATCAGCGTAGCGATACGGTCCTTGGCTTGTTGACGCAAGTGCTTGCGCATGGGATCGCCGCGGCAGGGCCACTTAGCATCGCAGTTGACGACACGGGATGGCACGCGAAGCTGCTTGAGATTCGGAAAGAGCTGCTTGAAACTTCTCTTGTTGTTCTTGTCGAGGTAGTCCTGTAGATCATGCCAATGGGGCCGGATGATGGTGACGGCGTCGACCTGAGCCGGAACGAGCTCTCGACACCAGCCTTCGAGCGCACCGTCGGGTCCATTCTCTCGTCCGAACTTAGCCCAAACCTCACCAACGAACGCGAATTGGTTGGTCGAGTAGCCGAGTGTCGCAGTCTCCTGGTATATGGCGCGGCAGACTTCGGGAAGGTGGAAGGCGGCCCTCGGCTGAGTGCGCTTTGGACCATGGTGAGCAATTTTGCCAACGTACGCAGAGCCAGTGTCACTAGCTGCAGCAGTTGGGGCGGGCTTTTCGGTGGGTTCGACCTTGCGGGCCTTGACCTCAATCGTGTGTCCGCCCATGGCATACTCCCAAATCTTCTTACGAATGCTCTTGTCTAGACGCAGAAGCGGCGACTCAGCATTGTTGCGCTTGAAACTTCAAAGAGGCGTTAGCAGGCATCAACCAGAAGTATGACAGCTCACTCACGCGACCACCAAGTAGGAAGGGGGATCTTGAACGTCGACTAATCCGTTGGCTGCGATCTTGATAGGGGGGTGTTTGCCGGACGGACGCAATGGCCTCTGAAGAGCCTTCGGAAGCTTCTTAAGACCACGCTTCACGCCTGGCTTTGTGACCTTGAATGCTGGGAGCTTGGTCTGTTCCTTCTTCGGAGCTGCCGCTGGCTGTCCAGCAGTTGGGGTATCGCGTGAAGATGTTGAAGATGCCATGACGTCAAGAGGAATTGTTACTGAAGTATGACTTGGAGCAGGCGGGGTGGAGGAAGAAAGACCTTGACTGAAGTTGAGCATGTGTTGTAGGTCTATGGTGATGGTGAATGGAATGGTGAACCAACGAGTGAACAGCCTAGCCATGTCGATATCCGCTCGCTGATGAGCTGGACCGAAGCTCTCCATCAAAGGGAGAGTGAGAGTGAACATGAGCGGCGAAGATTGATCTTGAGTGTGGTATCGGCTGCACGTGTTCGAAGGAGCACACAGTCCCTGAGGAAGCCGCGACCACCATAGCTCCACAACACTGCAATATATTTCAGCTGTTTGAATACGTATGTAGTTATACCCAGTGTTTCTCAGATGGTCTCAAGGCAGTGGCACAGTGACTGCCTCTGTCATACGTTGTGCGAGCCATACCCTATATAACGGGCCTGCCCTAGAAAGTCACTTCATAGAAGACCCCGAGACAGCCGAGAAGAGCCAGTGTGAAGTGGAGGGAGATCGGAGGATTTGAACGGTTGCTCTCCGTTTGATATCGCTGCAGCGGGGAGGGAGGGAACGCATTCGAGAGGAAGGTACCATAGGTAGTAAGTGAGAATAGTAAAGTCGCACTTACTTTTGCACCATTTCGGGATGGAAAGGTGAAGTTCACCGACCTGGATTTCCAAAGAGTTGTCAGAGGTCACTGAACGGGTCTCTGGCTTGGGTATCAAGCTTCCTTAACAACCACGAGGCATTTGTAGGGTTCGTTTGCGTGTTTCACACATAATCATGTATCTCAGGACTTCTAGTGCTCACACTCACCATCACCGCTAGCCTCAGTCCAGAACCCAGCTCGCAGTTGCTCAGCCGCAAAGCTGCTAGGCCTCGATAAGAAACACCTATTACTGTTGGCCGTATGATGATGATTACTTCTCGTAGGACGAAGTCCTCTACTACCGCCTCGCTCCAAGCTCGTCTCTTGCGCCCTTGTAGACAAGTTTACGTGGAGTTCGGAATGGGAAGGACATCGAGCTTCTTTGAATTCTGGACCTCGCGAATGGCTCTATTGATCGCAATGTGGGTTCACCGCATTTACCGGACGGTACGGAACTGTGGAGATTGTGGGTACGTTTTAAGGCCGTGGGTCATGACGCTACCACCGTGCCGAATTCTACCAACAATCTTGCGGCCTTCGTAAGATGAATAGGGAACTGTTGAACCATTTCCGTGCTATGCGGGCCTGAGTAGAATTGATTTCCGTGGTGTCCTATACCTAAGCCGATAAACAAATTGAATAACGTTGTTGGGTGGTATATATGCATGTAGCATTCTCGACCAGATTGTCCTACAGGAAGACGCAGGAATGGGGCTTGGGTCTTATATACCGAGATTCACGTCGGTTAGATAGAGTGGGGGTTTGAGTTTTGCTTGTCGCTTGTGTACAGAGAAGTGAACCAACACTCAAACCGTTAATGAGTGTCGAATACCTATGGTATAACTTCGTTTAGCAGTCGCACTATTAGCGAGGTCAGTCCCATTTCATGAGGCATTTTCGAAAGCTTATCTCTCTCTACCATGGGGCATGTCATGCCAATCTCAGGCGAGTGATGAAGCGCGGACGAGGGTCCGATCCCATGGAATGCGGAGGTAGGTGCGCACGGACCAATGCTTGGTACTCGGTCCTCGGCAGAAGCGTCATAGCGTTGAGGGAAGTCTTCGAGATAGCGTACGCGACTTCTCCTCGCCTCAACAACACCCCGCCACAGCCCTTGATACCTCGCCGCGCAGCTGTAGCCCTGTATCGACCATCTCCAGCGCCCTGTGGCTGCTGCGTACCGCCCGAATTAGACGGTCAACCTATCCACCAACAGCTCCCGCGGTGAGCAGACATCCGACATCGCCATGGGTCTTTCCAAATCGAGCAGGATATTGATCCTGCTCACCATCGATTCGCTCTTTTTCCTGCTTGAGATAACTGTCGGTTAGTACGCGCCTGCGCTGCAACATTCACCAGGGCTAATAATAGGCAGGATATGCGGTCCATTCTCTCGCGCTCGTTGCCGATTCTTTCCACATGTTGAACGATGTGATCTCACTACTGGTTGGTTTGTGGGCCGTCAAGGTCGCCAACCAAAAGACGAATTCGAAGATGTATACTTATGGGGTGAGTGCTTGTTTGCCATACCAAAGGTGTCCATTTGGCTGACCACACGCAGTGGCAACGAGCCGAAACTCTCGGTGCACTCGTCAACGGTGTTTTCCTTGTCGCGCTATGCCTCTCCATCGTCCTCGATGCTATTCAACGTTTTGTCGAACCTCAAGAAGTCAGCCAACCTAAGCTTGTGCTTATTGTGGGATCTCTCGGCTTGGCTTCAAACATCGTCGGTCTCTTCCTTTTCCACGATCACGGCCACAGCCACGGTGGGCACTCTCATGACCACGGCGACGACGCCCACCTTGCAGAAGAGGGTCATGCTCACGGGGCTGATGCCGAAGACCACGCTGTAGCCGACGAGCGAGGGAACGTTGCGGACGTTCTCCCTCAAAATCGCGTTGGAAACTGGCCGTCGACCGCCACCAATGGCTCGAACACCCCTGGAAAGCGGTCTACAGATATATCTTGGTCGGCGAAGAAGTATTCGACTCCTCGCAGGTCGGCATCAGGGAAGCGCATCTCCAAGAAGCATCACCGATCGCGATCACGAGGCTACTCTGGCCCCGAGGACATTCCCGTCTACCCCTCATCTTTCCGTAACAGCATCATTGAATCCTCTCGCTTGGAAGAGGACTCTAGCTCCGATGCAGACAACGAAGATGCGGTCGCGGATGGTGGACCTACGGAGCAGTCGCCGCTGTTAACGAAAGCTAAGAGCGTTTCTGGTCAGCCGGGCACCTCGAAGAAGAACGCTCACACTGACCACAAGCACAACAAGCCGAAAGAAGAGGGCAGCGGTGGGCATGGCCACGATCTCAACATGCGCGGCGTCTTCTTGCACGTCATGGGCGATGCTTTGGGAAATATCGGTGTCATCGCGTCAGCACTCATCATCTGGCTAACGGACTACTCATGGAGGTTCTATTCGGATCCCGCCATCTCTCTTATTATCACCATCATCATTCTCGCTTCTGCCATTCCACTGTGCAAGGCTGCCGCGCGTATCCTTCTCCAGGCCGTGCCAGCGGGTCTTTCGATCGATGATATCAAGGACGATATTACCGAACTCGATGGGATTGTGTCTTGTCACCACGTCCATGTTTGGCAGCTTTCCGACACCAAGTTGGTCGCCTCCCTACATGTCCAGGTCGCTTTCGATTTCCAAGGTGACGGCTCCGCACGCTACATGGCTCTCGCCCGCGATATTCGTCAGTGTCTGCACGAATACGGCATACATTCTTCTACCATCCAGCCCGAGTTCTGTCTCGATGAGAACCACGACCACACCGGCAACACAGACGAGAGCAGCGCCGATGAGGCAAATGGATCTCACGGGAAGGGTTCAAAGCTCGGCAGCAAAACCGGCAGCGTGTGTGGAGCAGGTGAAGCATGTTTGTTGGAGTGCTCCGATGCCTGCGGCAACAGCAAACAATGCTGTGATCCTGCTACTTAGGGATGGTAGCCTACGCAGCGTCCACCAGCGGCGCTTCGTTCTCGTGGTTTCTTCGTCTTTGTTTGTATGATATAGTGGATAACGGGCATCTAAAAGCCTCGTTCGGCCGAAGTCAAGGTCGTTCTTCTCTTTTGTTGGTATATGCTTAGGCAGGGCTTCAAAACTTGCATGGCATGGCGTTAGTACCCTGGGTCGGTAATTTGACGCATTCAGGAGGGAAGCTTATATATGTACGCTGGCGCTGTCGAATAGCCCTCCCTTTTCGATGTATTCTCACGAATTGAAGAGGTAGATAACTACAGATAAGACAACAAAGATATGATAATCCACAGCATCCCTGTAATGCTGATGTCCAATTTCCATGTCACTTTGCCTGGGAACGTATGAATGATTCGGGCTGGGTCTTGGGATCATGCTTGCACAAGACAGGTACACGACAGTTCCACGGAGCCTTCGCCATCGGGACGCAGCTAGACTCGATCGATCGCTTAGCTGGCCCGAAGCAGCGTTCACGCAGGCGGTCTCCACACGCCCGATCATCCTGGACGGAAGCGAAGCAACAGAGATCCACACCGTCAGCATCGATATCAGCGGGTGTGAGCGACCCGTCCAATCCAAGCGTATATGTACTCTGCGATGGATGCACCTTCCCAACGCAGTAATGGAGCACAGCGCGGTAATGCACCCCAGGATTGGCGCGCTCGGCGACGCAAGGCGTTCGGATGTCGGCTTAGGATGAGAGTGGAAAGTCACGCATGGGATATGGAATCGGTTGAATCGGTTGGAGAGACGCGTGAATGCGTCTGCTTCAGTGCTTCGAGGCTTCATTCGACACTTCGACGTACGCAAATTTTCAGCAAGTTCTGCTTCTGCGCCGATATCGCTTTCACGAATAGTAAGAGGACCGACTCTTCATCAACTGTACCGCCGGCGTAGCTGTGGGACGCAGCCAGCAAACCGAGGCACGATGGCAAAACACAACCTCTAGCGGAGATGAAGTTTGAAACGCGTGACTAGCACGTGGCGACACCGAGTTCTCGTTGCGCGCAAAACACTTGTCGGCGAGCCCCGATAGGTCCGTCCAGCACACGTCCAACAAATCAAATGGCAAGTGATTACTCTAGCTTTAGCGGTGCGCTGCCGCACGCGACTCCTTCACGTAGAGCTTCCTTATCAAGAGGCGCGGCGGGCGTTCGGCAGCGGCGCAGAAATTTTCTGGAAGGATGGATGCACGCTTCTGGTCGGGATGGGATGGGATGGCAGCGGGAGGAAACGCTTCGCCCGAGCCGCATGTCTTGTTTCCGGATCGCCGCCAGCCTTCAAACGCCGCGGCGTCACAGCTCATGTACAGTATTTGACATGATATGGGAGCCGCAGATACGGGCTCGCGTCGCGCGAGGGGTGTTGGGTACGGCACACCCGGCAGCGCGCGCTCTTTGTCCAATGGCCACGGATCATCGCTCGCGGCGCCCCTTCAAGCAGGAGGGTCATCTACGCGTGGGCCGACGTCGACGGCGAACGGGGGAGTAGCCAGGATGGGGCAAGGGTGTGTGGGAAAAGTGGCGCAACTAAGACCGCCAAGGCAGGCGTTGGAAATGCTTAATTGGCGGCACGGCGGCAGGTTATCTCTTTGGGGCTAGGGGGCGTTTGCTTGTGCATGTTACATCGCGCGGCGGTGCTTGTTGGTCCAGGCGTGAAATGGTTATCGCGGTGGGTGTGGGTGCATGTGTTGCCTCCCGGAGGGCTGGGTGCAGGGTAGCGACGGTGGGACGGAGTGGTTAAATATGGAGGGGGTCGCGCTCTTCCTGCGCGGCGGTAATCCCGGGGTGAAACTCTTTGTCTTTTGCTTTGAGAGTGTTGTGGGTTCGCCTTCAGATTACGTTCGAAGGTATTCAAGATGGCGACGGCATATGAGACGGAGGCTGCGACGTGAGTTTGAGAGATCTGGAGATGGGGGACGTACATTGACGGTGAATAGCCTGCACCAGGTTCTCGACCAGCCTGACCTCTCCAACAAGAAGCACGATATTGCCGGGGAACCATTGAGCGCAAAGCCGGCTGTTGCACCTTTCTCGGCAGATGAGAAGGCTGCCGCACTCGATGGATCATCGCATACGCCTTCGGTAGCAGCCGAGGATGATGGTTTCGGCGGTGACTTTCCCACCGCCGAGGAGAAGAAGACCCTCCGACGAGTCGGCGACCCAGTTCCCAAAGCAGCGTTCCTGGTCGCTGTCGTCGAACTTTGCGAGCGCTTCACCTACTATGGCGCCTCTGGTCTTTTCCAGAACTACATCCAACGGCCGCTCGATGGAAGTGAAGGACCTGGTGCCCTTGGTATGGGCCACCAGGGTGCGACTGGTCTCTCTACCTTCTTCCAGTTCTGGTGCTACGTGACGCCCATCTTTGGTGCTATCATCGCCGACCAGTATCTCGGAAAGTACAACACCATCCTCATCTTCTGCTTCGTCTACATTGCCGGTCTCCTCATCCTGGTCACGACTTCGATCCCCAGCGCGCTGTCTGCTGGCGCCGGCTTAGGAGGCTTCGTTACCGCCATCGTCATCATCGGTCTCGGTACCGGTGGCATCAAGTCGAACGTCGCACCGCTCATCGCCGACCAATACAAACGCCGTCAGATGAAGGTCACAACCGACAAGAAGACAGGCGAGCGCATCATCATCGACCCCGCCATCACCATCACGCGCATCTACATGATCTTCTACTTCTGCATTAACCTGGGCTCGCTCTCGCTCATCGCAACGCCCTACATGGAGCGCGATGTCGGCTTCTGGTCAGCGTTCTTGCTCTGCTTGTGCATGTTCCTTGTCGGAACGTTGACGCTTGTCCTGGGACGAAAGGTCTACGTCGTGCGCCCGCCTCAGGGCTCCGTTGTCACGGACTGCTTCCGCGTCATCTGGATGATGATCAAGGGCCGCAACATGAACGCCGCGAAGCCGACATACCAGGCCGGTCTGGGCAACGACTCTGTAGCCACCAAGATAAAGTGGGACGACCACTTCGTCGAAGAAGTCAAGCGCGCCCTGACCGCCTGCAAAGTCTTCTGCTTCTACCCAGTCTACTGGGTCGTATACGGGCAATTCTCCAACAACTTCGTCTCGCAAGCCGGGCAGATGGCCTCGCACGGCATCCCCAACGACCTCATGCAGAACTTCGACCCCATCGCCATCATCGTCTTCCTCCCCATCATGGAACGCCTCGTCATGCCCGCGCTGCGCCGCGCGAAAATCCGCTTCCCGCCTATCAACCGCATCGTCGCCGGCTTCTGGGTCGCCTCCATGGCAATGGTGTACGCCGCCGTCCTCCAACACTACATCTACCAAGCCGGGCCCTGCTACTCCGCGCCCCTCTGCGACGCTTCAAAGGACGCCTCGGGCCAAACCACCGGCAACAACATCCACATCGCCGCCCAAACAGGCGCCTACATGCTCATCGGCATCTCCGAGATCTTCGCCTCGGTAACCGGCTACGAATACGCCTACACCAAGGCGCCCCCCTCCATGAAGTCCTTCGTGCAATCCATGTTCCTGCTCACCAACGCCTTTGGGTCCGCTATTTCCGAAGCGTTAAATCCTGTGCTGTACGACCCTGCGATCCAGTGGATGTACGTTGGCATCGCGGTCGCGAGTTTTGTCGCCGGGTGTTTGATTTGGATTCTTTTCCACCATTTGAATGACAGTGAGGAGGAGATGAATGCTATGGATCAGGATTACGATGAGGATGCTACGTTGAGGAGGAGTAGTGTGCATGAGGAGAGGACGGTGGGGTTGCATCATGATCATGAGAAGAATTAAATGATGGATGCGTGGGGTGTAAGAATGAGGGGAGGATGGTGGGTGGATAGTATGGACGTATATGAGATGAGTAATGAAATTCAATGTGCAATGTGGCTTACTGTGCGTGATGGCTGCGTGGTATGTATGTTTGCGGTGACCTCCGCAGATTATGCGTTTATGGCGTAGTCAGCGTATGTTGAGATGGTTCAGCTGCCGCATTTATCTACCTGCTTCAACGGAATCAGAGTCGCGCCCCGGCCAAGCGCAATCTTCTCCCACAGTGACCAACCGTATACCTCGTCCTTCCCCGCAATACCACCTCCCCAGCGTCCACATCCTCTCGAAGCGCACCTTCAAGCCCTCATAATAGCCCAAGTCCCACCACGATAATATCTAGAATCCTTATTTCATCATCTCATTCGCAGTCCGCTCAAAGCCAACCTTGTCCTCAACGAGAGGCATGTTCTTCTTCGCCACTCATCACGTGCTTTAGACAACGTTCGTGGGGAAACCTTCAACATGACTTATTAGTGTCTCATCAAGTAGCACTGCCTAAGATAAAACCATAATATACGATGTAGCTACTTCATAGCACCGAGAGCTGTGCAGTCTTCATGAAAGGCCGTACTACCCAACCATCCAAGCTTTTTCTGCAGCCGCCATCGCCATTCAGTAATAAGCCAGCCATATTTACGACGTCGGGATAACTTTCGACGAGGGTGGTGGTGCGTTGGAACTTGAAGGGTCCTTGATGGCCTCGTCACACCGCGAGCTTAGGTAACCGCTTACCCACACCTACGTAGTACACCAAGCGAGGAATTTACCCCACCCCACCGCACGCCCCACATCACATTCCAGGCCCTCTTATCAATATTCAACAAGCGAAGTTCCTGCATGTTATTGCTCTTCCTATCGCTGCCTTTCTTCATTCTTTCTATATATATTTTGTTAACACGAATATCTACATCGATTAGTAAGCTAGCTAAGAGCTTCACATCTATCTTCCTTGGTCTAGTGGTCATGATTTCCGCTTGTCATCACGTGATTACGAGCGCGGGAGACCGGGGTTCGATTCCCCGAGGAGAGTAATGTTCTTTTTGTTTTTTTGGGGGTGGTCGGGTTGGGGCTGGGGTTGGGGTTGTGGTGGGACTGGCTAGCGCAGGGGAAGGAGATGCGTGGCGGGTTTAGGGGGAAGAGTGTGATTTTAGGGGTTTGGGGCTTCTGGTTTTCAGTAGATAGATGTAATTAATTTAGGAAGTAAGGTTAGTGTTGATTCGGTAAGATGGGATGCTTGTTGCGGAACCAAAACAGCGTAGGGACGCTGCTCGTGTAGCCTTCGGCTCAGCCATATACAACATTCGCTGAGAGCGCTACTACTGAAAACTGTTGGATCAAAGAGTCAGCTACTTTTTGGGTATGCGAGGGTTCTTGTCATTACTCAAGGCTTTATTCAGGTATTGAAGGCTGCATGAACGATGGAGTGGGTATCAATTCAACTTCCTCAACGAGATTTCAAACAAAGCGCCCAATATCCTCTGATAGCTCTTGAACAATATGCAACGGCAATACTATATCCTTGCCTGGATGGCTCTGTTGCAATGGCCTTGTCTCCTGCACTGGCCACCTCTTGCGCAGCGCCTTGAACACCTTCTCATTCTGCACATCTATATACCGAGGAAACCACGTGACGCTCGCAACCCTCAGCCGAGCCGCCTCCCAGTCGTCTGTATCGCCAGCCGCCGCTCGGAAGAGTGCTTCGGCCCACGGGATGGTTTCCTCCTCCGGATCAAAGGCGACAATGAAGGCTGCCATCACAATCCACAACACAACATTCCTTTTCTGCTGGTCGGCGGGACACTCGAGAAGGGGTAGATATCGGCGGAACTGGGCATCTAGGTAGGGATGCTCCAAGCGGCGCATCGGCAATTGTGTCTGCGACGTGATCGCAGCTGTTATGGCGAGACGGAGGCATTCTGCGAACGGGGTGCCTTCCCCGGGAGACAGCGCTAGCACGCGTGCCTGCAGCGAGTGCATCGCATTGCGGAAGTACCGTGCTTCCACCTTTTTTCTGCTCGCGCTCTTCTGATAAACCTCGTGGCACAGTGCGCGGAAGTCGCAGAAGAGACTGTCTAGCTTTGGTAACCCTGTGAGCGCTTCGTAGGGCAAGCACAAATTGCTATCGAGCGGGTCCCAGGATGGGGGCTCCGTGAAGAACGGTCCAATGCGGCCGGTGATGTTGTACAGACAGAAAGCTAGTCTCTCGATTTTGAATTTGAGCACATCGTAAATGTAGTGGCAGGTGGTGCGTGAGACGTCACAGCTTGTTTGCTGGGCTTTGTACAGGCGCAAGATCTCGAACATGCCGTAGAGATGTGTGAACGCTGCGCTGTATTCTCCACAGAGCATGGCTACGGCGGTTAGGTGCAGGATAGTGCAGACTGCCGAGTTCCTTGAACGAACGTCGTCTTTGTCCAAGAGGCCGTTGAGATAGGATATTGTATCGGCGATGAGCTGCCGTGTATGGTTCGTCAGGCCTTGGTACGAGACGTAATCGTTGTGCGCGCTGGCCGTCATCAACGCGGTTGTGAGCGCACCTTCGTTCTCCGGCTCGGGGAGTCGCTCATCAAAAGACTCTTGGTCGACATAATGATCAAGTGGATACAATTCCGGCAAAGCTCGCGACACTGGTCAAGTCAGCCTTTGTCGTAGGTATCTTGGCTAGAATGTGTGTTCAGTCTCGTGACTAACGCGAGATGCCAGCACGGGTAAGCTTGAGATTTGGGAAGCTTACATCCCCACAGCAAGTACCAAGATTGACGATCAACAGACCCTGGTAAATACATGGCGGGGTCTGCTTCCAATGTTGGCGGGATATGTACTACAAATTCGTAGATCAAATTCGTAATAGGTATTTGTCTGTTCGCAGCATTCCGCTTATTCGGCACTCGCACCTTTTCTTTTCGGCTACGTCGCCTAGTCCCGCTTCTCTTATTCTTTCCCAGCATGCAGTGGCTGCGTACCACCCAATCGTCGTCTTTACTTACCTTCCCCTGCTCTCCGCAATCTATGAACGCGAATGTGGGCATGGTAATACGTTTCGAAAGCGAAGGACCAATCGCGAAGCGTTGAGCGGACTCCGGAGACCTTGCGCGACGATTGGTGGGGCGTGTGTATGCGGGTGTTGAGCGCTGCAGCAGCAGTGTAGACCGTAAAGGAGCAATGGAGGTGAGATTAGACGAGGAACGTAAGGCGAGTGGGCCAGGATCGTCCCGGTGGACTGATCACCCGAAAGCTTGGGCGGACAGCAGCAGGGATGCCTACCTGTATCGAATCTGCTCCACAAGTATTCTAGATATGAATATACATCTTTCTAGGCTCGGCATGCCCTGGTAAACAAGCACACCGCATCAATTCAAGGTGTTGAGTCAAACAAGTGGACTTCGAAGGTGTACTGGAACGCTAGCGCGAGTCATGCTTCAAGTGTTAGCGAACGATGAGAAGAGAAGACCTGAATCTCAGTCGGGATATACTGCATGTGGTCTCACCAGAAGATATGGGAGATCTAAAGATTGCGCTTGTCTACAGTGGCTATTTTCACCATATTTGATGAACATTTTCGCGTCGGCGTACAGCAGCACGAATTTGGGTCTGAATCGTCACTTGTCTGACGAAGTGAATGCGCGCTAACCTTTAGTAGTAAATGGTCACTAAATGGTAGACGAAACCTGCGAAAATATCTATGGCAGGTTGTTTTCATCCCAAACCATGTGAGACAAAAACAAATAGCAAAATTAGATAGTGTATAAGTAGGGCTCTCAGTCTATAGAGAATCAATTATTCGATTCTCTCTACATTCATTCAAGCCAAGAGTAAGCCGTCCAGCAGGGTTGCAGTCATTACTGTGACCATTGCTACTGACATTCTTTTTCACTATCTAGAAGCCACAATTACGACACCTTCCCATTTCAGTTGTACTAAAAATGGTTATCGGTGCTTTGCAATAGTCCTAAACCCACCTTGTTATGGCTCCGAGTCACTTTCTTATTGATTTCATTGGATCTATATAACATATTCACTCTACTATTGATGGTATCACTTTAGGAAGCCTTTTCCACGCCTCCAGGATCCAGAAATATAGATTGAACAGCATAATCAGCCTCCTATAGTATATTATTGCCAAAGATATATGAAGAGGACATAAAAAGAGCTATAGAGGGTGGGGGTGGAACTTTTGCAATCGACTATAAATCCGAGTTCAAATTCCACTCAAGCTAAGCCAGAGAGTAGCGATTTCCAGGAAAGTACTCTCTTAACTGCTTGTTAACATAAAACATTGTGCTGGCACAATGCACGCACTCCTTCGCTCACCACGTTGTGCACATGACGCTCCAGAAAGCGTTCTGGCACTTATAAGAGACTTCCCTGGCCTGTTGTATATGGGCCAAACAAGATCTCTCACAGTGCAACCCGGGTTGATCAACACTAAGTGTCAACAAAGAAAGTTACCTGTACAGCCGATAACAGTTACGAGAAATGTCGGGATTTCCACTGCTCCAGTTGCCGCGCGAACTGCGAGACATGATCTATGATCAAGCCTTATTGCTCAGGTGCGATGAGCGTAGCACAGCATTGCCTGATTCTGCCAAGGGAAATGGTAGAGGCATATCCGACAACATCCTCGACAACATATTCGACACGCCGTTGCCGCCATCGAACCCGGCTCTAAATCTTGCGCTCGCTGGTCACCAGCTGAAGGATGAGATCATGGAACGAGCTAAGGCCATGAGCGTACCATTCACTGGCGAATTCAAAAAGCTTGCTGGCGTATTCACCAGTGAGTTTACATGGACGCATCCAATGCCTCTTGCATTGCCGAAGCAGGAACAGTCACCAACCCAATGCGTGGACATTAACTTCCTGGTTCGACATGTGACCGACGGTGCGATAATCTTGGAACCCATATGCAAGCTCCTTGTTAATATAATTAGCAACGGTAGCGCTCGCAAGATCTGCTGGAATGATATACTCGATCGCAAGCTTGATAGGATCGCTCTACCTGTCTACGCCATCCGAGAAGCACGCATCAACATCACCACTAATCTATCTCCGCACGACATCGCGCCTGGGCAAGGCTCTGAGACTGCCGCAATCTCTCAGCAAGTTGCAGATAGCCTCATATGGTGTGCCTTGAACGACTACTTCAATGACTACTGCACCTTGTTCGATATTTACAGCTACGTGGTATCGCACGTAGGAAGTTTGGTCGTCTCCATAGATGGCCAGAATTATCGGGATATCGATCTCGCTGCTGAGCTATTGGCTCCGAACTCAAGCGTAGGTCCAGGTCCAGCACATTCGGGCTATTCAGTGTTGATCAAAGCGGTCCTTCAAGAGACTAGGCGACGGCAAGGTCTCGATGGTCCCAGCATTGATGTTGCTCAAGGGCCGTTCACAGTTCCTAGGCCGAATTACGTTGATTTTGGGTCTCGGACATACAGTACGCAAGCAAAGTTCATCCGGCGGGCCCGTGAGCTCGGCTTTGTCGTACACTACGAGTGATTCACAATACCCCATTCGGCCGGCATCAGCGCGCAAGATTCGCATGATGGTATTGTACCGGACCCTATCTTCTCCTACATTCAAGTCCAACTTTGGGTAGTACCAAGTTTTTGATATTCAAAGATACCGTCCCGTTCAGGGCGACGTGCAGAATGTCAACGATAGCTGGTTCACGACATGCGCTTTCAATCGATGCGTTACTTCAAAATGTGATCTCACTGGTGTAATATTCTCCGAATACTAGAGTGGCTTACGTGTACGAATCCCTAGCAGACTATGAATTAGCCACAAAATTCGAACCATTCTAAATGAGAAAAGCCTCATATCCGCATAGTGAATCTAGAAACGAGACCCGACGTACCCCGCAGCAGCTTCTCACACAAAAGTACCTGCATTGTCTCGAAATTCGTGACCGCCTCGCCTTGAGAAGCCTGGTCCCCGGCCGTGCGTTGTTCTCCCAGAGGCTAGTCTTGGCGGGAGAATAGTCACGTTGCGGCTGACTTACCTAGGTAATCTTCCCCGCCCATCGTTCTCTAGGTCAACTTCTTCTACACCCCTGACCTGCTGCGAGTAATTCTTTCGCGTGGCACCACCTCCATCTACTGGGATTGTAACAAGATGTCGTTCGTGCAATGAGGGCTTGTATTCCACAGACTATATGTAGTGTCTTTGGCAAGATACTAGAGTAGATTGAATACAAGAAAACAAAGGAAACTCATTACAAAGGCCTCGGTTTATGTTCCTTCCTTCTGGGGATATCGCGGTATTCGCTGGTCTCTTTAGCTAGCGACAATTGCGACACCGTCACGTGACTAACGGTCCCGTTGCCTCCCCTCGGTAAGCCTCTCTAAAAATATATGCCGTTAGCAGGTTACTTGAGTAGTACTTGAAACGTTTAAACTAGCGACACATACAGTGCATTCTTCATTTCTTCAATCTGGGCATTTTCCGCTGTTGCAAGCCTCACCTTCTCTTCCTCATATTCTTCATAAGACTCCCTTAGTTCCGCCTCTTTCTTTCTTATTTTTTCCTTGAGGTCCTTCATATCTTTCTTATAATCGTCCACATGTCTCCGAACTCGTGGCGACATAGCCGCCCGGTTTTTGTCAAGTTCTCTAGCCTTGGCTGATAAAGCTTCGATGTTTCGTAGATCGGACTCAAGGCTCTCTTTCTCATTCAAGAATGTTCTTGTTCTCTCGAGCAGCAGCCTCAGGTCTTCTCGCGTCTGTTCCATAGACTTCACATTACTGATTACTGCTTCCGCTGCTTCACAAAACGCGCCAGCTTTAGCTTCAGCAGTTTCGAAATCGTAATCTAGGTCCATAGTGGGCAGAAAGTGTCCGTTTAGTAAGGTTTGGAATATTTAGAGTAGAGATCTTGAGAACGTCTTACGACTTTTTAAGTAGAAGGTAGCAGCTTGAGGGAAGTAAACGGCTGTTGTGGTTTAAGGCAGGCATTTTATCACTTACACCCCAGCTGACCGGTGAGCGGACCGGTGAGCTGACCGGTGACGTCACACTTAGAATGCTCATTGGGTCTCCCAAAGGGTCTGCCAAGTCCTGCGGTTCTCTTAGGAGGAAGCGGGGCAGTGTGAGGCACACATGCCGTAGATAACCGGTAGGTAAATGCCAAAGATGCTAAGTAGACAATACGATTCGTCTTCTGCGCGCGCTGTATGCCGTTTGGTGCCCACGCAAATCGCGCGGTTGCCATCTCCGGGACGATTCACTACTATCTATCATATCTATTGATGCATCTGAGAGGTAGACGTAGCACTTTTAGGCATTTTAGTATGAGTAGAACACAATGTTAAGCGCTTCTAAGAGTTTAGCACTGCAAGACTTATTAATGTAGTAGGTGTCTACCTAGTAAGAATCTAGACCATCGCGCTGCGCTTATTATGCGTAGAACAAAATCTAACTATAACTAGCCTTGTCGTTTCTATTACTAGTTTATAGGTCGTTAAAGGTCACTTTATGCTCATCTCGCTACATATATAAGAGGATTACATATAGAGGGACCTCCTCTTCACTTATAAAGATTTTAGTCAAACTAAGACCACAATTAGGTATACACTTTAGAATTCGCATCGCGTCGCACAGCGTAGACAGGGTTCGTAGGCGGGCCTTGTAGCCAGAAGTGGCAGCACAAGGTTGGCATGTGGAGCGGGCTAGAAAGGCGGATTAAGCGTGCTGGCTTATTTAGCAGGTTATCATAGATTAAGATACGGCAATTGGAGCGCAGTTATAGATCCAAGTAGCGTATAGGTATCATGCAGACATTAGTGGTGTAGGAGGTGGGCAGTGCGCGATGAATGAGCTGCAGTTCAGGCAGCGGAGAGTGCTGCCTAAATCGAGATTCCGGCAAGGCTGAAAAGGCGCAGCTGTCAGCGTTCCAAATGAGGCCGAGTTTTGGAAATGTGTAGAAGGGCGAGGAAGGCGGGGTAGAAGGCAAGAGCAAGATTTAAGATAAGACGAGCAGACAGGCCCGTGACCTCAACCAGGATCGTATATAGGCTAATCTAGGTGTGGAATAGACAGAAGGCGGAAGCCGATTTCGCAACGAGCAGATAGTAAAGCTGCTGCTCGACGCGGGCGCCGACGCCGGGATACAGGCTCTTTAAACACAATCACTTTTCCTAGCATACCTTGCTCACCTGTAACTTAGTGACTCCTCTTTCCGTGGGTTAACAAGCGCCACGCCAAGTGTGACGACAGTAACTGCTATGCCAAAACGGGGAATCATGTAAACGTTGCGAGGACCCTTTGTTCTCGGAGAGGCCCATCGCGCGTCAGCCCAATCCGTTGGCGGAAATCCAGATGAAGCTCCCAACACGCCCGACATCATTCCTCCGTGAGCTCTACGTCGGATATAACAACTCTATGTGCAGCTTACCAGCGTCCTTTCGGTCATTCACATGGGACGCTTCGGTCGTGACAACAGACACGTAATACATGCAGCGGGTCGCTCCATTGCTCGTCCTCGGCCAACCCTAGAGATGCCACGGGAAACACGAAGAACAATGCTGTCAGCAAGATGACTGAACAAGACTGGTACGGCGAGGCACTTTTTTCTGATGTGACTGCACGAGAGACACAAGATGCACTTGCCCATGTGTTCACCATTGCCAAATACTACCAAATACCCTTGTTTTGGGAAACCATGGAAATCACTTGGACGAATACGCCTAAGAAGAGACCAGCATGCCGGATCCGTAAGAGAGGTTTCAGTGAAGGGAGGAATAGAGCGAGAGATGAACAAAAACGTAGGTACGTGAGCTAGACATACATGAAGCCTTTATTCTTCATCGCTGCTGTATCAAGTGTGCGTCGTCTGTCGTATCCGCTATACCTACAGTCTCCCCCTAGTGTTCAGCTTCATTTTTCTGTGCCTGTTCTAACCCTCTGCGAGAGCAATGCTCCGCTCAAACGAGCACCGTAAGATTTGCTGGACAGGAGCTCTCCCATGAATCTCCTCAGACCTTGTCAGGTATGTCAAAGGGACACCAGCCCCTCGATATAGGGTGGGAGCGACAGTGGATGAGGCTGTCTGATAATCCATAGTGTTGTGTCGTATTGAACGTAGCATGCTGGATGTCTGGTGAGGTCGTTCGTATAAGAAGTGATACTGTTCAGTCCGAGGACTTGTTGATGCGGGACGTCGCAAACATTGTCGGTTAGCGATGGGCTGACTAGGAACCTATAAGTAATTGTATACTGTGTGTTGTGACTGCGCTAAGGTATTTGGGCTCCGTCGTCGCTCTTGCGTTGCTGTGTTGCGGGTTTCCAAATTTGGACTTCTCGTTATTTGCTGTGTTTTCGGGTAGGCGGTAGTGTTTTGGAGCACGCCTCCATCGTGAATCGAGTGATAATCTAACTGATCGTGGTACAAGATCAAGGACAATGTCAAAGGGTCTAAATATATGCGCGAAACCTAACGACTACCTCCCAGTGTACCTCTTCTCCAACCACCTGAAGACAGGAAATGACACCCCACACAACAACGCCGTCAGCTCATGCCCCACATTCCCACCCTTTGCGCCTATCGTACCAGCAATCGGACCCGTATACCAAGAAACCTTCATACCCAATGCAGCTCCCGCAAACCCGAACGCAAAAGCTGCGATTGCTCCCCATCCAAACGGCAGCAGGTCTCGGCTAGCCCATGCATCCCAGTCATAGTTTGACCACCGCGAGCGCCGGAAGATAACGTGTTCTTCGACGATGACTACGAGGTGGATTATCGTCCAGTAGCCTATGATCGATAGGAAGGTCTGTAGCGTGTCTGTGAAGAACGCTGCGGCGCAGCAGCCGACTGTGACGGCGGCTACGAAACCGAAGGTAACGAAGGCGATGCGCGGGACTCGGAGCGCCCAAGGTCCGAAGTTCTGGGCGTGTAGTGCGAAGGAATAGTTGTTGGGGATGTTGTTCTAGACGTGTTAGCTCTTAGCCTCGGGTAACTTAGTTTTCGTACTTACGGGTATGGAGCTCAGTGCTGCGATGACAAGCAAGAATTTGCCGAAGCCTCCTGCTGGAAGGAGTGCCAGCTTTAGTGGACCGCCAACACCAGCTTCGTGGTAGGCAACTTTCCAGGCGGGGTTGACTGCTGTCCCGGTGAACAGTGCCGCGCCAAGCGTCTGAACAAGCACAGTCGGCACAGTGATTCCGATATAAGTTGCAATGAAGATCTTCCACCGAGGTGTGTTGACGGGCATCTTGACGTTATAGTCGGCTGCGCAGTTGATCCAAGACACGGCGAAGGAGAAAATAACAGCGATAGTCGAGAAAGCTGCTGCAGCTCCGTTGCTACCAGTAGGAGTTTTGATCGCATTGCCATCGAGGTGCTTGGCCCCGGTCCCTGCTGCAACACACCACACAATGAATGGTGGGATCCAAAGGAAAGCGTCAAGCCTGTGAATCCAGGTAATCCCGAGTACGCAGATGATCCATACAATGGTGCAGATGATAATCACACCAGCCCACTGTGGACACTTGCCATCCGAAAGCGCATACAAGACGGAAGCCCCAGATATCGAGTTGATGGCATTCCAACCTGTCGTACTGACCATGGAAAATACCACCACGAGCAGGTTGCCCCAGTACCCAAAGGAGTAGCGGCTGAATGTGGTCATGCGAAGTCCCGTGAGACCGAAAGTTGCGGTCCATGCAGGCAGCATACAAGCCGTTAGGTTGACAAGCAAGATGATCGCGAAGCAATCCCAGAAGGCGAGACCGAAGCTTCCGCTAACGATACCTGTGTTCAGCGTCGCCACAGCCATATTGGCGCTCAACCTAATGATCGTAAGCAGACTTCAGAAGAAAAGGAGTGTATGAAGTCACGACGAACGATCGAAATTCAAAGTACTAGATGGACATACCAGAACGTGCACGCATTCCACACCTTCGACGTGTTGCTTGCGCGCTCTTCATTCGTCACTCTTTCGATCCCACCAGTTTCAATGGACAAGTCTTTCAACCAATTGCGGAACTTTCCATCCTTATGGTAGAGTGTAGAGTATCCTAGCTGGACATCGTTCGTGGATGGAGCATTCAAAGACTGCTTAGAGCGCATGGTTTCGGAATCAACGGAAATGCCAGCTTTTGCAGCCATTGTTGGATTGTCGCTCCAGTGCGTCGACTGATACTCCATTTCCGTGTTCCATGCCTGTTATAAGCATTCGATACTCGCGTTGTGGTGTTCATGGTATTGAGCAATCTAGGGCCGCGGTGTCGTGATTGTACTTATCGCCGCGGTATGCCGCGGATCAAGCCGCGGGTTCCCACAATCAGTGAATTCACGATAAGGGTGAAGGCATGCCCATTGATCTACAGGGAAGCACAGCACCCCGCGGCATACCGATGTAGGATGTCCTGTCGCTAGTCCTTCCCATCGCCGGTTTGCCGCGGTTCTGTATGTCCTGCGGGCACGCTGCCCCTACCAACATATATATGATGGTGCAACATCGCCGAGAGAAATAGCTTGACACTTCGACTTATCAACTTGATTTCCGGAACGAACTTCTACACAACTTCCGGAGCCGAATAACATCTATTATTCCCACTCCATCCTCATGGAACAGAGCACACTGATCAGACGTGGACTCGGTCTTCGTGGTGTAGACCCACACAAAGTCTCGCCAGGCTACACTCTTCTCGCGCACCTCACTAGTCCGGGTACTGTGAAGTTGATCGACAACCATGGGCAAGAGGTACATCGATGGGACCTCCCATATCGCCCTGGCCGACATGCACAGATCCTCAGGAACGGCAACCTCGCATATAATGGCGTCCATCCTGATGCGCCGCGGTTATTCCCACTCTGGCAGAAGTATCGAGGCGGCGTTATGATGGAGGTAGACCCCCAAGGCAAAACCGTATCGGAGCACCGAGATCCGCTTGCGCATCACGACCAACATCATCTGGATAACGGCGAGTTGCTCTATACGACTGTAGAAGGGTTAGAGTATCATAAGGGTGGGGCGGTGCTCGGCGGCATTCCAAACAGCGAGGCTCCAGATGGAAAGGTCTATGCGGACTGCATCAAGCACGTGTCGCCATCGGGAGAGTTACTATGGTCTTGGAAAGCGATCGAACACCTTGACCCGAAGAAGTTCGCTTTGCAGCCGCACTACCCTCGCGAACACTGGCCACTGATTAACTCCGTGTACCCTTTGAAAGATGGCAATATTCTCGCATCCCTTCGGAGTGTATCTGCAGTCATCATCATTTCCCGCGAAACAGGTGAGGTCATCTGGCATCTCGATTCAACTGTGGTGGCGCAACAGCATTGCGCAAGCGAGTTGGAAGACGGCAGCATTCTGATATTCGACAACGGTACCTTCCGTCACCACGAAAGCGCAACATATTCCAGGGTCATCCAGGTTTCTCGAGAGGACAAGTCGATTGTTTGGGAGTACAAGGACCCGCATCCGATGACGTTCTTCACACCATTTATGGGTGGTGCGCAAAGATTACCAGGTGGCAATACCCTTGTTACCGAAGCGGCATTTGGTAGGATTTTCGAGGTGACGCAGAATGGCGCACTTGTCTGGGAATACATAAACCCAGATTTTGCAGACTACAGTGGCTTGGATGCCAAAGAAATTGAGGGGTACTTTCCGTATCCGGCAAACGCGTTGTTCCGAGCGTACAAGTATACCCCAGAACAGATCCCTTGGCTCCATCCCAACTGAGATGGACATGTAGCAATAGAAGTTCTCAAATGCGACATAGTTATCCTAATGCGCCAGAGCGATACCATTCAAACTGGTCGTCTGGTATTCGTGCGCTGATAATGTGTACCGGTGACAGGAGCACATGCCGGATATCTCTTTCCCATGTTCGGTCACCTTCCGTCACACGAGAGGCTGAAAGTCAGGTAATAAGGATCCATCCATGAGATCAAACGTTGATGTCCCGTAAAACTCTGGGAACAGTTGCGCGAAGTCGTCTTGTATCGCTGGATCCACACCGGCGTAGGAGGTATTTGGGCTTGGTCCCGTGTTCGGGCGAAGCTTTTTATGGAAAGCAGCGACAACGTCTCCCATAGTGTACGCCACATGGCAAGGAAAGCCAATGGCATGAAGCCAAGATACAAGTGACAACACAGTATCATCAAGTCTGCTCAAGTCGTGTGACAAAGAAAGCTGCTCTTCATAATTGCTTAACAGTCGACAAAGAGTGACTGCGGCGAAACTGATCATGTGGTAGATATGATCGGTAAGGTGTCGCGTCCGCTCGTCAGTCGTGTTCATAGCGAGGTTGATGATCGACGAAGAAAGGCGTACCATTTCGGAAAGGAGCGATTCACGCACGGCAGATGACCCGGTTTTCAACAACTGGTCGTAACATATTAGTTGAGCGAAGTAGAAGCCCATCTGGACGAACTGTGAGCGTGGCTGGTCCAGGAGCCAGCCCCATTCTTCTTTCCACTTGGAAAGCGATTCTTGTGTCCGCGGAAGATCGAGCACCTCGTTGCAGTTGCGATAGATCACCCAATACAAATGGACCTCTGCCACCATCCTCGACTCAAAGTTCGTGGCGTTGTGTGACCCAAGGACAAGCCGACTCTTGTGTATGTCCTCTTCGTCAAGAACAGATTTGCGACGTGTGCCAACGCAGTAGTGGAGATGGACTAAGCAAAGATGATTCCATATGCACAAACGATCGAGGTCTTGCTGTGCTAGGTTGGCGCTGCGGGATCCCCTTGTAAAGGCAAAGAGACCGCTGGCGATGCTGTGCTGAAGGGCAAACCCACTGAGCAACCAGCTATCGATTCCCAGCGGTAGTTGCCCGATGGTAGTCGACCACAGACTAAGAACGAGTGAAGCTTGGAAGAATTCCAAGGGCTGCGGAACACTCAGCATCGCTTGTGAGAGTAGTAACTTTGCGTCTTGAAATAGCTTGGGGGCAAGGCGAGATGCTAGCTCCTGCGAGACGTGACGAACAGCGATCAAGCAGCAAGCTGTAAGCAATAGGGGGGACTTTCGGACGTCTTCGAGTAGGCGGGCAATGGATGCGGTTGCATCGAATGATACCCATCTTCCATAATTCTCATGGAACAGGGCAAGAAGAGAAGATGCATCCTGTTCATTGAGTAGCCCTTTGAGGATGATATCGTCCGAGAGGCCACGTGATGGGGTATTTGTTGCGGTTCTATCTGCACGTCGAACGCCGGACTGTTTGGTGACATCCCGAAGAACGAATAATGGCGCGCGAATATGTTCCCCAGTCTCTGCTTCGGGGTTTAGAAGTGAAGTAACTTCCAGATGCGAATTCTGCCCGTTGTTTTTGTCTGCACTCTGGTTATAGAGCTCCGACTCGACATCGTCTACTCGTCTCGCAAGAGCAGATACAAGTCGTTCGAGTCGCTCGACTCTCTCGTCATTGATGTCATTTCTATCGCCAAATGCATTGTCACCCAAAGAAGGACGAGAGTAAGGTGTCTCCACGCTTAGTGAACATTCCTGTCCAATGCGATCGCAGCGGAGACACGGCCGGCCTTGAAGAAACGAATTAGTGGGATTGTTGTGCGCACTGGACTGACTTACCCGTTGTTGTCTCATAGCACCTTGTTTTCTGCTTCCTACACGCTGCGCACGCCTTTGAAGCGCGACCCCGATCTGGCGGCATCACGCTGCTTTATGTACGGCCGACGACAACCACGGCCATCAATGTCTTGTCATCGACCCAGAGGTCTGCGATACGGTCCTCATTTTGGGGAGGAGATGGCAGTGACAACGAATGAGATGGGATGGGAACCGCTTTCAGAGTGGAGAACGCGATGCGCACTTCGACGCTAAGCCACATGCGGTTTAGCGCAATCTGCACTCCCAACGACAGCACGAGGAGCAGTTCTTCAGCTTCAAGACATTATTGTAATACTCAAAAGCTCTCCCAGGGGCTTCAGATGCTCTAATGGTTTGTCGTGAGAATTTTTCACCAAGGAATAGCGCCCCGTGGCGGTGATGATACCTGGGTACTTTATGTGCGTAGTCATTTCCAAACTGGTACCACAGGTAAGTCTGGCCTAGCTAGTAGCGTTTGGCACGCATTCAGTATGCGTGGTCCTGAAGATAATTGTTCATGTGGTCCATAACATATCTTCCATGAGCCCGAAGTTAATTGCAAGAAGACTTTTGGGAGGCTGGACGCCACTGCCACCATAGGAAGCGACTCTGCTGTTGAGTCTCAATGACCGATACGGCAATATGTACTGATGTATTGGGCTCTATAGATACACATATTTCACCCTTTGGCCTTGAAAATGTCGAAGAAGGCGCGTGAAGGGGACCATCGGGAACGACGCAGTTGATTGCTTCGCATCTGCCACATTCGACTCCCCCAAGCTTACCGCGCGTCTGCTTGCATTCGGGCTCAGCCCAGCAGTCAGGCAGAAACAACACACCAACTGGACGTGCATGAAGGACCTCTTCGGCGCGAATCCTCATCGACCAAGACGAAGACGGCTACCTATGGTATGTCTAGGCGCATCAGATCGTAATACAAGAGGTTATTAGCTTTGCCGCAAAGATGAGAGGGAAGGGGCGGTGAGAAAAAGTCTGAGTGAGTTGGATGGCGGCGGTGGCCAGCTATAGGCTCGTGGAGGTTCTGTGGCTCGCCAATGACGAAGGCCCCCGCATCGTTTTTCGCAGTTCAGTTGCTCTCCACCATGTGAACCATCAGTGTCCCATCTGCGGTCCTTTACTACGAGGCCTACTGTAACAACATTTACGACAGACGCATTCCTCGTATAGCGTCAGCTTCTGCTGTTCTCAATTCGTCTAAGCTGTCAGTATCTCTACCATGGTCGTTTCCTCCCTGCTGGCATCCCGGAGATGGTAAGTCATTCTTCCACAAAGGCCTACTGTACAGGGAGCAGATACTTTCACCTTTCGTTGCCTAAAATGGGGCTGTGGATGAGAGGGTCGGAAAGGCCAAGGAGCTGTCGCTTACAGGGCTGGGTTTTCGAGTATCGCGGCAAGATCTCGATATCGGCTGACCAATTCGGTGGTAGAACGTGGAGAAGGCTGAGCACCCACGTATTTGCCTACTCAAATTACCACAGAGCCTGGCCCCCTTTAACCCATCTACAGCCACCAGCGAGTGCTCGCGCTTACTTCTTCTTCCACCTTGGTCAACACCAATGCACTCAAGCGCTCTGTGCGACAAAAAAGTGCTTGTATTAACGACTGTGCCGCATTCCAACTGGAGCAAAGAGCATTGGGTGGGTTGCCAGAGGCTGATGTCGTGCAGATCCTGAAATGCCGACGTTGCCACGCTTCAAACGATCGAGGTCCGAACACCACCGGCCTATTTCCGTGAAGCCCGACGCATGCTGATCGCGTTCCCCAGATGGCTGTCATTGGCGGTCGTAACAAACACGAGTATGCCATCAAGTGCGACCCCAAGTAAGATCACCAGCTCTCAATGTGCAGTCCGGCGTCATTGGAGTACTATGCGATGCCACGATCATTGTCGCGCGCCAGGCTGCATCGACTGAGATCTCGGGTCGGAACAGCACACCATCTCGAAGCCATCGAAGGACCTTTCGCTCATCTGCATTCCACGGTAGGTCTTAACCATTGCCTCCCTTGTTCCTCTGCTCCATTCAACTGACTGAACGGAGCTGACCTGCATACAGTGCCCCATGGCCTGGTTCTTTCTGCTTGATGTTCCAGAGAAAGCTGCCGTGCTTGGCTTCACGACCACGCCAGAGATTCGGCGGTAACAGCATCGATACACTGCCACACAGAATACAGCGTGCTCCGGCGATATATAACTGGAGCCCACCTTCATTTTCCGCAGTCACTCCAAGATAATATCCTCTATCTCTTTCAAGCATCTTTACTGTTCAGACACACGTGTCGAGTTCGTTTCTTGGCCGCCTAACCCTGCACAACCCATGTTAGTGACCCTCGGCACATTAATGCCCGACATGCAAGCGCAACAAACCCCGCGATCAAATGAGCCATATAGCAAGTTCTACAGAGACAGCGCAGAGTATCCTGAGCAACTCAAGTACCGTCGATTTGGATCTCAATGGGCCAAGAAGCTTTATGACGATGAAGAAGAACTCCTTGTGATGGAAAGAAACCTCAACAACAGAATCGTAGAGTTGCGAAGGCGGGAGGGCTGCGGCCCTTCGACTACGCTCGAGTACCCTCGAATACTTGCAAAAAGAGACGGAAAGCTCTATGGCCAATGGATGAGATATGAGCAGAAGTTAAGAACTCACAGCAAGTTTTGCAGATGCACCCTCAAAGATCCGATATCTAATCGTACCCAGCTCAAGATATTTGCCTTCTCTATGATTCATACAAGTTGCCTGGCCACGGCGCATACGCAAGCGCGTTATTGAACCACAACTCCGAGCTCTTCAAGAATGGCACTTTTGGTCCCACGAACGAGGCCGGTGGTGCAGCAGCGTATCAAGATGCAGCGTCGCCCGATTTCGTCGCGATAGTGGGTGTTGAATCATATGGCGTACTCATGGATCTGGCTGTCAACCATATCGCTTGGATCGATGAGAAAATTATCCAGCGCCTGCGCAGTTGGTTCCGCATGAGCCGAGGGCCCATCCACATCAGACTTGCAACGCTCATCGCCATCTTCGATGCAATCGCATGCGTTTTCGTTCCGATGCTCTTCATGGGAACGATGTTTGCTTTGGCTCACGTTCCACACCTCAACA